TTCTTCTTCTATTAATGGCTTATCTGCGCATTTCGCACAATTCAGCCAATGTCAAGTAGATAAATTAATTAATTACATGTAAAATGAAAATGAAATGAATGAAAGATGGCGAATGAAAATAATAATAAAAGACATAACGGACCTTATTAACAGATTATTTTTTTACGAACATTTTTTTAACTGACATTTACAAAGAGCATATTGGATTAGTCAAAATTTCAAATTTCGAAAGGTGAATAATAAAAAGAAATGATGTTGGAGACTAAAGTCAAAAAGTTTGCATGCTGAAACCTAGGACGAAATAAACGGTGGAACGGCACATCATTCTCATGTTAATAGTACACAGTCCCTACTCTATGGAACATGATATAATCATTATATTTGAACAATTTTGCATTTAGAATGCTATACCGAAAAATATTCTGTAGTAGCGAAAAATATGTGCTCGAAAAACTCGTCAGTCCTGTTTGGTCCTGGGTAGCTCAGTTGTTAGAGCAGTCGCCCGGAATGCGAAAGGTCGTGGATTCGAATCCCATCTCAGAGTGTCAAGGACTAATCATTTTTTATTAAGAATATGATGTCATAATAATTTATCAGTGCCTGAAATAAAAGTCTATTATTATTATATATAGGTAGGAAGAAGATTGATTCCAAATATTTAATGAACTAAATATATTTAAGAAATAAAAGGTAATGTCAGGTCACCACAATATGTCACATTCTAGCAATAAATTTTCAACTCTATTGTCTTTTCATAATTATTTAAAATTAAGTCATCGATAATTTTTATAGATTTGTATAACTGCATAAAAAAACTTGTATAATTGTATAAGCTGTTGACTGTATTCCTATTCTACTCTAAAATGAAGAAAAAAATACTATCACAAAAATTAAAAGTCGAATACTACAACAGTTTGTTTTGTTATGATCAGTGGTAATAAATAAATTTATTGTTTCAAACTTTCTAGAGCGTGATTTAACTGCAATCGAGTTTTAGTTTATGAACTTATAATTTTTTATTTAATTAATTTTCGGTGTATTTAAGCAAAATTGCAAAAGCTATCAATACTAATTAATGTGCTAATTAAATCGCTTCATTTGATACTCTACACGGAATGATTGAATAATATATTTTTTTTACTTTATGCTCTCTAGAGGGCGTTGCCAATTTAATGTATCGCCACATAGCCTATTACACACGGACAACTAAAACGCTTCTAATGATACCTCATTTGTCAAGTCAGGATGAGTAGTTTCGAAGTTATAAGGAAACAGATGAAGTCTTACATGCATACACACCGGCAGGAAATAGCAAAAATCATATCCCTCCTTTTACTCTATCTAAAAATAAAGTCTATCGATTCCAGTATCAGCAGGTAACGCTTACATTAACCTAATAGCGCTCCAGGACATTTCATTTTCATAATGGCCGTTTTGGCTGACCCCATTTAACGCAAATTGATATAAAATTTTCAATTAAACCATAGTAGTTATATCATTGAGTGATTAATTTACGATTGCGTGAAGTTTAATCCAAAATCTTCAGCCATCAAATAATAAAATCATTAAGTTTTGTTTGATAGCTTCTTTCTATTTTATTACGTAATAAGTTTTAACTAAATTCACGAGAGTTTTTTTTAAATATTTAACTAGGAAAAAATACTGTCATGGCTACCTTCTGATTTATAAATATACTTACTAAGGCACCTCACTGTGACTACTAATTAGGTATTTACCAATGAAATTGTCGATTTGATATACTGGCCATATTTAAAAACGATTTTTTTGTTAAGAATTTTCAGTTCATATTGAAAAAAAAATCATGAATTTTTATTATATTTCATCAATTTCGCATTCAGTGCTATATTGAAAAATATTATTAATGAAAAATTCCACTTCGTCCCATTTCAGGGTGCCAGGGCCCAAGTGGATTTTTCGTTAAGAAAATTAATGAGGAAGTACATATTTAAAAAAAGCGAAAGCACTAAAAAGCACCTCCACCAAATGGCGACTCTGGCAAAAGTTGATTTTTGCAGAAAACGAATGGACTAAAGACAGTCATTTCCGTTCCTTTAAACTAACATAAACTGATTTTTGAAAAAAGTGCAAACCGAATATGAGTTGTTTATTGAGTTTTGAAAACTAATTTACTTTCAAACATGAAAGAAAACCGGAAGGGTTGTCATGTAGAAATCAAGAACGTACCGTAGCGACATCTAGTTTGATTTCGGGAACTAACTTTTTTTAAACTTATTTTTTTTTCGAATTTTGGCATTTCTTTTCAATTTATTTATGATTTAAAATTCGGGTTATTAAAAAGTATGAGCTACCACCATGGCACTGAGAGCATAAATGACACGCAAACGAACGCACCACAGTTTGCTTGCTTCTGTTAAAAAAATATTCTTCTGTTCTAGAAAATTCGACATGAAACATGAACCTTATGGTCGTCCGAAGACTGGATGTCAATGACAATACTCATCTATGATTGAATCGGCAACGGCTTAAGACGTCAGTACCAAATCAATATTGTTTCATTTGCGGTAAATTGGTAAAGGAAAAGCTTGATAAATTTATACAGCACACCCAGACAGTGTCTAAGTTATAAGATGGTTTGGAAATTCTGCATTGTCTTCATACTCACCAGACCTTGCAATTACATAGTTCTTCTTTTCCAGAATTTGGATAAGTTGAAGTTTGGATAAGTTCTTGGGGAAAAAAATCAATATCCGACTTATAGAGACAGAAAATTTGTTGCATCACGTCCAGCTGATTTTTTCAAGAACGGCAAAGATAACTTACATCATAAAAAGTAGGTACTTATGGTACATGTTTTTAAAATAGCTGCCTGTCAAAGTTGAATAAAAGTCAATCCTCAATGCATTCGCCAGGTACAAATAGTATGGAGAAAAAGAAATTTTTACAAGCATATTTTTTCATATTTGTTTAAATTAACTACTTAAAACAAACTTCTATAAATATAATTCAAAACTTAAATTGGCTAAATTGGTCTTTCCGTTATTGAATTTAAGTGATTTAATTTCATTTTCGTCATTGATCTTTTATCCACTTAATATTTTTCTGTTTTGAACAAAATGTGTAGTAGCGAAATAGGAAAGTAATATTTTGAAATATTTAATATCACTTTTTTCAGTTGCAATCAAACGATTCTCCGACCGCGAAATGGCAAAACAAACTCCACTGCATGTTACTATTATGAATATTAAATTTCACCCTTCATAAAAACTAGTGATGAGTTTAAATTTAAATTTATCGACATCGACAATATCGTTTACCATTTTAGTTGGTTCGATTAAAGTTAAAAGAATAGATGAAATATTTAAAAATTCGGCTATTTTTCTGTGCCAGGTGACGAAGACGTTTTAATTACTTAAAGATTTTTGGAAATTAAAATGACAGTTGAAAATATTTTACAGAGCACAAGGATTAGTAAAGATTGAAATTATCGTTACATCTGCTCTATTTACTTTATAGTCATTATAAGTTAAATTAATAATTATAAATTATAATGTGTTTCTTGCTCCTGAGGTACCTTCTGACTTTCCCTATCATAGAATAATTTAAGGAGAACGCAATACTCACCGTATGGGATTAGTGAAAAGTAGACGAGTGGGTGTAGACACAGACACAGACGCGATCAACAATTTAATGTACCTGCAGAGCACGAAGGAGTTTGAATACAAAATTTTTGGACGTCTAGCTGATAGGTACCGCAGAAACTATTATATACAGAAATTATTCAATGAAAACAAACTAATAAATTTAATCATTCCTGTTTACAATATTGGTAAAGATAAATAATTTATTCCTGCTTTTTCTTCTTCAGCGTTTAGACGCCGATCGTTGGGCATACGCCTCTCCAATCTCTCTCCATATAGTTCTATTTACTGATTGCCTTTTCCAGAATTTTGCCGCTGCCATTTTTAAATCGTCGGATAACCGGGCAGTTGGTTCGCCAATAATTCTATTGCTCAAACGGGGTCTCCATTCCAGGATACATTTTCCCCAAAGCTCGTCGTGGCGCCGAGATACGTGGCCGGCCCAAGTCTATTTTAGTTTCGCGAATCGATAGCGTAGCATGGCTCGCCCCATATTGCGCTGCGTTACCTTTAGCTCATGTACGAACCCCTGGGTGAGTGGCCATGTCTCACACGCAGTAAATATCACATCTCCGTGTCTGACACCTCTTTGGACTGGTATGGGGTTTGTTTCATCATCAGCCCATATTCATCCACTGCTGGACATAGGCCTCCCCAATTGCACGCCATCTAATTCGATTTTCGGCTGTTCGCATCCAGCTCCTGCCAGCCATCTTGCGCAAATCATCGCTCCATGGGGTTTGTTTGCTCTGTCCTTACCATTATTGCCACTTTGTACAAGTTCTTTAGGATTTGTATATTCCGTTTATCTATATGACATCGATGTAGCGACTCGAAGACTTTCCAATGTTCTATGGAGTCGAAAGCCTTTTCATAATCGACGGAGGCAAGATAAAGAGGCCTGTTGTATGCTTCCGACTTTTGTATAACTTGCCGAAGTGTGAAGATTATGATCTAGGGTTACAAAGCCTTTTCTATAACCAACCTGTTCTCAGGATTGATGTTCATCCAATCTTTGTTGCAAACGTGTAGTTAGGACTTTGAAAAATACTTTGTACACTTGGCTCAAAAGTGAAATAGATCGACAGTTTTTAAGTTGAATCTTATCGTCTTTTTTTATGAAAAAGTACGACAGTGCTGTTTGTCCAAATATTGTGCACTTCGCCCGTGAACAAGTACTCATTAAACAGTAGACTTAATTCTTTTAAAACAGCTCTGCCTCCGGCGTTTAGTAATTCCACAGTAACACCATCCTATCCCGGAGCCTTAAACTTCTTGATTTGCTTCAATGCTTGCTTGTTCCCACTATTGCCAAATTATTAGAAAAATCTATACATATTTTTGTAAAATAAATCACATCCCTAGTCCTCCTGTATATCACTAGAGATTCCGCACCAATTTTCGCGGCGGGGTTGCCAGTAATGAATACTCGGCGCTACCGCACATGTGGCGAGATTGGACCGCGGCGAGCCACTCTCGACTGTTTGGCTGCATTTCACGCTTCCTTGATCTATGAATTACACGAGGGGAAATAAAAAAAAAGATATTTCTTTTTGTTAATTGCATACAATGTAGTAAAAGGAGTATTTTATAAAGGCATATCTTAAATTCATATTCAAAATCAGATTTACTACTAAATTGTTGTCATTTTTCATTTATTTTTCCTAAAATTTTCCTTGTAGTAAAATTTCCACAACAGTTCCATAAGTATTTGTTTATTGTGGAAATAGTCATATTCTCCGCCTGCATAAAATCTTTGTCAAACAATAGAGAAAACGACATATCGTTGTAATATTCGCTAGAATGTCGTATTCTATGGCTAGAGTTATAGCTAGAGGAATTAGCCGGTAATTTTGCTATTTGTTCCTTATACAATCGTACAAGCGGTCTTGGTTTTTAATAGTTTTCAGTCGATAATCTGTAGCCATGTTTCTGTATTTGTGAGGAAAATAAATTAAATAAATTATTATTATTAACCATTTCAAATATCGCCGGGTGGCAATGATGGATGATGTGGTACATACATTACCTTGTATCGTGAACTGTTTCGTCATTTGTCTTCCACCAACCTTTTATTGTCTTCTTCTTCTTCATTTTTAATTCATGACCTATTTGCGTTTACACAATTCCGCCAATGTCACATTTGTGTTGTTTTTACACGTAAAGAAACAATAATAAAATATGACAATTTTGAATTTAAATAAAATAAAACAGCTCTATGATAGAATAGGAAACAGAAGTTGACAATATATCGAAACTTTTTAGGCAAAACCGTCAATAAAGAAACATTTGTATTTTGCTAACACATTGGAGTTTGACATGTCAGTACTTCCAATTTATTATTGGATAGGTATATTTTCCTAATAATAGTTATTCACACTCGGAAAATGTTTTAGTTTTTTAACAACATGGCTAAGCGTACAGATACGCGTAACCATAGAAACATAAAAAAATTTGGAATCTGATGTGTTTCCGTTGCTTTATGGTCAATCGCAAAACCAATTTAATAGACACCTGACACGTTTATAATTCTTGTTTTTATAATATCGAATTTGTGTAGAAGAGACGGTGCGAGAGGTCATACCGTAAAGATCGAACTGGTTATTACTACAAAGCAAAGCTACAAAGAGTTTCCGTTTCATTGTGTGTGTTCGAGAAGTTATAAATTCAAATAAAGAATGTTTGATTCACACACGCTTAATGAACAGATGTTGAAAACATGTTTGCATAGTATTTAGTTTGTGAATATTACTATCTATGACGCTATAACGCTACTAACTATTTTCTTAAAAAAATAAGACTAATGGAAATATCTCACATGTTAGTGTTTCTGGTGTGCACGTTATCTGCACAAATATATCTTTAATATGATAAGAAAAGCGATTTTAAATTGTAAAAAAATCAGGAAAACGAGTAGACTTTTTATCTCAAAAATCTATAATACCTACTGAATACATATTGCGTCTATAGGTTTACTTTTTACCCGTTTTTATTATAAAATGCAAACGACAGTTTCGACAGTTATTACTCTAAAAAAATATATTATATAATTAATAGTGTAATAAAAACATTTGAGAGCATAGTCATAATCTATCACGTCTCCAGTTAATGAATTTTGATAATTCTAAACACAATAACACTCAGTAGAAATCCTCAATCAGCTCCTTTGCAATAGAAGTCCCACCCTAATACCGGTTCGGATGGTTGTCGACCCCTGGCACAGACCACAGACAATAAATTATTTTTTCTCTGGCTACCGTGCGCACGCAGCGGTCAATCCTTTAATGTCCCAAGATTTATTTCAAAAGCACCGTGCCATTAAAGAAACACGTTACAAATATATAAAAATGACACGTAAAATATGACGGTCGATTTGTACCAAATTAACTAATGGGCGAGCGATCTCGATCGGTCCGATGGATATCTACAAATTTGTGTTTTATTCAATTTATTTGAAGTCGTTTTACTTATGAAAACAAAAACGTTTCGAAATTAATACAGCACAGCGACTTTATTATTTTTAATCAAACAAAGTTTATTTTATTACACAAGACGTTGATTCGTATTTCTTTCCAATCTGCTGCAAGAAATCACTAAAAAAAAAACATTAATGAAAATCAATTAATATCCATATTAAAATATAGTAGATTTTAACCACTCATTAGTCGTTACCTTGTCAGTTAAATTTAATACTTATCATATCGACTCATTTCTAATACAGAAATTACTCCTACCTACATACCAATAAGCGGGCAGATATTTAGAGATCCAGTGGGCCGCATAGTTTTTTTTTTAAGTAGAAGTTTAAACGAGTATATGCATTTATAGATTTTATTGCAGCTTTAAATTAACGAGTATACATTACCATCATTGGCGGTGTACCTATATGTACTTTTTTTATTGTATATCTGACTGAAACCATAAAACCCGGCGGGTCTTTATGAAAAAAGTAATGGACTTTGAGAAGGCGACATTTAAGTAGAGGTCGTGTCTCGTCGTGATGGTCGGTCCGTTTTTGCATTACTCTAAAGAAATCTGGCGTAAAGATATAGATAGATAAAAAACAAAAATGTTTATTTACATAACAAACTCATGTATGACTTTTTTTTTTATTAAAATTAATCATCATCATCAGCCCTTTTACGTCCCCACTGCAGGGGCTCAGGCCTTCCTTATGGATGGTTAAGGAGGATGGGCCATGACCCTCCACGCTCTGGCCCAATGCGGATTGGAGGGTATTAACGACGGCAACTGCAGCCCGGACCAACGGCTTAACGTGCCTTCCGAAGCACGGAGTAGCTCGAGATAGTAATTTTTTGGTCACCCATCCCGTGACCGACCCTTACGAAAGTTGCTTAACGACTACGATCGCGGGCCGCGGCGCTTATCCACTACGCTACCGAGCTACTCAAAATTAATGATAATCACAAAATAAACGCGCGCACGTGTGTGTGTAATTAACGAATTTATTACATGCCTAAAATTAAGTTGGTGTTTTATTTGATCAATTTTTCATTCACAATGCTATACTGAAATATAATCTTATTGAAAAATGTTTAAAAACAAATTTTCATCTTTATCGAAAGTTTAAATATTTGTAAAAATATTTCTTTCGGCTGTTTGGGTGGATTGCCTGAACATTGATGAGATTGTGCTCTTTAATAGTGAAAAAGTAACAAGTGCTTGAAGAATTTATCAGTCCTGTTAGGTTCTGGGTAGCTCAGTGGTTAGAGCAGTCGCTCGGATTGCGATAGGTCATGGGTTCGAGTCCCATCTCAGAGTGTCAGGGACAAAGTGGATTTTTTTAAAGCATTTTTCAATCAATAAGAATATAAAGATGTGGTTTTTAAATCACAGTCAATTGTCATTTCTGGCGATGCCTTTTTATCAAAGTTTTATATTAAAGTAAATTTGTGCAGAAAATTTTAGATAAGAAAACAATATTAAAATTTAAAAAAAAAACGAGTGCTTCGTTGGGCGCCAATAATTTAATTTAATACGTTTCTATGTATTGAGTGTGTAATCATTGAATTACCTGACAACGGTCCTTATTTGGGGGCATTCGCACAAATTATTATGTCCTATGCCCATGTCTTTCTCTATGCTGTGGAACTTAAGGACTGCAGCATTTGGTACTTCGGAGCGACTGGCTGACACCGTCTGGTATAGCTGAATGGTTAAACATCTCTCGCATTACATTTGTAACATTCCAATACTATGCATATTGACGTCATAATTCTATAAATGTATGTATACTGTATAAATGTGTGTGCATATTAAAGGTATACTAGAAGAATTCAAATTGAAAAAACTATCAAAAAGATTTGCAGTGCAATGCAATACTGCTTTACCGCTTTTCTATTTGTGATTTATCGGTAATTGTTTTTAAATAGTCCTCATTAGTAAATAAATAAAGTAATAAAGTAAATAGTCCTTGAATCAGATAGGATACAAAAATTTCATATCATCATGTCTATTAGATAGATAGATAACTCTTTATTGTTGACATTACACTATTTACAGAAAAAAAAACATAAATTAAACTTAATTAAAATGCAAACAATTGGCGGCCTTATCGCTTAAAGCGATTTCTTCCAGGCAACCTTTGGATGGAGAAAGAGATAGTCATTATAACGGAGACGGGGGTGTACATGTGAACAACAATATACAATTAAGTGCAACAATGAATATAAAAACACACAAACTACATACCTACAATAAATATTTATATAAATATGATATTATATAATAATAATCGTATACATCTAAATAAACTACATATATAAATACATATATACACATATTATCATATCTGGAATAAGTGACAGTGCAGTAGCATCAAAGTAATTATTGCGAAAGGTAGAATTCTTTGACGTAAACTTTAAATGTTGGAAGGGATTGAGCTCTCCTGATCGAAACTGGGAGAGAATTCCAGAGACGAGCAGCTTGGACGGTAAACGAGGATTCAAGAAAGGAAGTGCAATGAGATGGAATTTCAAGAGTCAAGTCCTATTAATATCCACACTACAGAAATACAGGCCTTCCTTATGAAACCGACCCGATAACGGGCTATAACCCATTACGTGTATCGAGCAGGGCGACAATGACAGGCTGCCTCATCATCATAATATAATAGATACTATGACGTAGCGACGCCAAAGTGGTTCAGAGATATCTTTTTGAATGAAAAAACAGTTGATCAAAGTTCTTGTATTCATAGATAAAAAAATCACATTATTTATAGGTATAATAACTACTCATAGATCTTAACCCTAAGCCAGTTGAAAACAAAAAGAAATATTTTCAGCCAGCAAGAACAGCGAACGCGGATTCGAACACGAAAACTAAATTTACGAAATATTAGCGGCTATCAATGACTATAGATCGTTCAGAGAGTATATCAATAGTAAAGTAATCCGACGTTAAAGTACTCTTGCTAAAGTTGCTTCATACCCCATCGCAGATCGAATGCGAAAGGCTATGAATTCTAATCCCGCCGCAAACACCCTAAGACTGTAAGAAAGTAATGTACTTTATTCCAGACTAGTGGCCACCAGCGACTTCGTCCCCGTTTTCCATTATTTCTTCGCTCCTAATAGTTGCAGCGTGATGTTATATAGCCTTAAGCCTTCCTCGATAAATGGACTATTCAACACAAAAAGATGTTTTCAATTCAAACCATTTGTTCCTGAGATTAGCGCATTCAAACAAACAAACTCTTCAGTTTTATAATATTAGTATAGATTTCGTACCTAGGGACCTTACCAAAAAAATCTCTTTCACATGATCCCTGCATAATCAAGATTGAAAACGTAAAATTCTATCAGAATAAAATATGATAAACTGAAACTTACCTTCACAGCTAAATCGTAAGGCACAATCTTGTCCCCTTTGGAGTGCAACATCAGTACTGGCAGTTGGGGCACTTTGACCAGATACTGGTCTGTGTTGAAGGAGTACTCTGAGGAAGCGGCGAACGGCTTCACAAATGTATCCTTATAGTACGGCAACCAGGATACGAGCTGGAAGAAAAATAAATTGCTTCAAAGAGGTCACAGAAAATACACCTTTGCATCAGACTTTCTTTGTCTTCTCTGCGGGGCACAGTACTTCCTGGGTGGTACCAATAAAATATCAAAAACAGCACCCGTATTCTGTTCACAGAGATCTGTGTCAGACCCGTGTCAAGTATGTACAACAGGCGCTCTGGTGCAAGAATTGCTCTGCCCCCCCCCCCTCCAATAACAAGAAAAAGCCAGTAGCATATATTGTTTTAATTTAGAAAAACACACTTATTGAAGTCCACTTTCACGGTCACTAAGGCTTACGGAACACGAATCATCAGTTTATCTTATAAAGCCAAGTGTCAAAATGGAGTTCAGGGGAGATCGCCGATATTGACATTTCAAAATTGCGAACCCTTGATAGAAAATTTACGTATAAGTGATTCTGACACATTGGAGTTGCTTACTTTTTTTGGTGACTATTATTTTAAGTCAGTCGAGTTAGTGAATAAGCCTGCAAGTCGTTCATTACCCGCAACGGAGTACCTAATGAGCAAATTTTATTTGTAACGACTGGGTAAAAAAAATGCAATTCTATTTAGTCCGTCGTCAGATAATAGAAAAATATTAGATATGTATTTTTTTTTACTTCAATTTAACAAGAAATAGTTTAGATAACAGGCATTAAAGTTGAGGAGTGATGGCTCGCTACGTCACAGTTGAGTAGAAAACGTACTCTAACGTGACGTCATGCGAAATTTCAACTCAATGTAACGCCGTAATTTTATGATTATGAAAAAAATAAAAAAATACGTGTTTAATATTTTTTAACACTCTACCTGACGGACAAACAAACAAAAATTAGTCATCATCCCTATTTAACTGTTAATTGAATCAGTAGTTCAGTATTGCATATTCGTAATTTTCAGTTATTGTAGCTGCAGGTACTTCAGTTATTAATTTATAGGATTGAAGACGCAGTTTGACAGAGTAATTTTAGTCTAATTTGTGCAACAGAATTATTACCATTATCACAATATTTTTTTAAAGTGGCATAAAAAATTTATCGATAAATCTGTGGGCTTATTGCCTAATTTCAAAATTGGATTATTGGAATTATATAACGTTTAAAGTTGCAATCGCTTTAGGAAAAATGACGATTTTAATAATCAAAAAACAAAATAAAAACTTAGCTGAACCCGTTAAGATTCCAGTTTGCATTCTCAATAGCTTTCAAAGTAATATTTGCGCCTAATCTTAGACAGTTCTTATTAACGTCAAATTAGTGATAAAGTTCATTCAATAACTTAAAAAAAGTCACGATCACAATTGCTATTACATGTCAAATAATTGTAAAGTTCGTACGATAAATTTTAAAGTTAGGCAACTAGGCCTCTAGTTACCTTTGAAAATGGATGACGCACTATCTCTTCAGTTAAGTTGTTGAACGGTGCCTCCAATACGATGGCGTCTGGTGGTGGTAGATTCTTGCCCGCTTCATCGCACAACTCTTTGAAATTAGCCGACAAATTCGCGATTACAGCCGTTCCTGAAGGAACACACGCCAGACGAATATGAAACTTCATCAAGCTTTTAATTACTCAACATCAGAAAACGTGGGCGTATGAAGGAGGTCAAATTCAGAGTCAAAATAATCTTTATTCAAATAGACTTCTTAAAAGTACTTTTGAATTGTCCAACATTTTTCCGTACCACTCGTTCAGGACGTCTTTTGGCTGATAAGAAGAACGAGCAAGAAACTCACCAGCTCTAATGGAAGTAACGACATTCACAAAAACCATGCCATTACCAGATCAATACATTATAAATAGAGAAAAAAAACGATGATCTTATAATGATAACTTAAAAATTTAATAATAATGGCCCCAATATAATTTTTGAGATATAATGAATTAAGAAGAAATTACCTATCCAATTGCTGGAACATCTTAAGTCCAAGCATTCTTATATGTTATATAATCGGATATGTTATAATAAGTTTTTTAATTAGTATTTTTTAATAGTAGATTTAAACTGCACGATATCTAACTGTTGCATTTTGCTTTGTACATAATGTCGATCGGTCTCGATTGCGTTCAAGAATAAGGGGGCCCTTGAATATATTTTTTTGTCACCCATTCCGTTACCAACCCTTGCGATAGTTGCTTAACAACAACGATTGCGGGTAGCGGCGCTTATTCATTACATCACTGAGTTACTCCAGACAAATCTAACTAATCTAAACGGATCCAAGTATTGTGCTTATAACACGATTTAAAAAAACAGTCCGTAATGATCTTAAGTAGTTTATACTTGATATTACTTAACGTTTATAATTTCTACGTATGTAAAATGTATTAATGTAAAGGAACCCTTTTATATCAATAATCATAGAAACTGTAACCATAGAGTATACTATACTAAAACAAAGACAAGTGATTGCCGAAAATAAATAACTAATTGACTTAACACCAAGTTATTTCGTAACCCTAGCAGCGATAGTAACAGTTACCGAGTGAATGTCCCCAAAGCAATATAGTCGGTTTGTGATTTTTGTTCAGTGATTCGAGCAGCCAGTTGTACACCTGGAATGCATCTTCCACCACTCCTCGTTCTGTCGGCCGAACAGGACTAGAATCGCCGTAACCTTCGCAAATAGAGTCACTTCTGTCTTAAATGACTTACATGGTCAAGTTAAGTGGCACATCAAAAAGGTTCAATTAAATAAAACCTACTTTAAAAGGTAATTTTAAGGTTTTAAAACTCTATGCTGTGACACCGCTTTGTTAGACGTTGAGGTTGATATAGATTTTATTACATAAAAGCACAACAGTTAGCATAGTCTCGGAACTGATTGTTTTTTCGGATACTATCATTGTTGCAAATTTCCGTTACACAAAAACTTTAGCTTTATAATTTGAGTGCTAGTTAATGTCAGGTCTCATTATTAAGATATCCCAAAATCTTAGTAATAAGAGATATTATCTGATATTTCCGTAATCATCTGGCTATTGATTACTTTTGTAGCCCAACGGACCGCACGGCGGTTTGCATTTCCAACTGAAGTAACTGGTTTTTAGAAAATACTTTTCAATAATGTCTCGGGCCTAAATGAAATGTACCTTCGTTGTTTCAGAGTTCGTAATAGGAGTTCTTTAGCTAATTAATTTGGGATCTGAGTCTGTATCTAATATTACACGTTGTATAGTACATTTTGGACTTTGTACTGACCGCGCTTCGTATACAATTTCCTTACAGAGGTGAAGTCTAGCGTGACGGGCGTCCTTCTATACATAACTAGTTAAAGGTACTAGTTTTTGCTGCGCTTGTGATGAATTCAAAATGAACTTATTCCAAAGAAGCTCATAAATTAGTTATTACGTAGCTTATGAGCTTGATTATAAAAGATTTTCATCACTAGTCTATAAATGTCTCCACTGCTGGGCTCAGGCCTTCCCTGAGCTGACCCACCCCGTGGCTCCAGTCCGGATTGATGGGTGTTAACGACTGCAGTTGCAGTCGGGACTAACGGTTTAACGTGCCTTTCGAAGCACGAAAGAACTCGAAATAGTAAATTTTTGGTGATCCATCCCATGACTGGCCCATGTGAAAGTTGCCTATAAACCGTATCGCGCCATCGAGCTCTTCGGTAGAGAAAATATGAAATTATTATATAGGTACCCGTTTGTCTTAAGTGAATTATATAATTATTAATCTTACCTCGATAATCAAAAGTTATGACGTGAAAATTCAATTCCTGGAAAATTTTATACATCTGTAACCTATGGGGAGATGCTCGATGGTTAGAATTACCTGCAAACAAGCACGATGACACTTGCTTAATGGTGGAATTCAAATAGTACAACATACTTTACAACAAACTTAATAAATTCAGCATCTTGACATATGTAGAAGAAAACTTATCCACAATAAAGTTTAGAACGCCTAAGATATTCAGATAGCAACGTTACTTTCAAGGATTGCCTCGACTAATTTTTGTGGCGTTCAGCAGAAATCACTCACACACAAGTAGAAAATTTCTTTTATATTCCAATCACAGTTATCAAGTAGGTACCTAGTGCCTAATATACTTCACTACTAGACTAGTGACTGAGAGATTCATTGCTTAATGAATTAGCTATACAGTATACTATTTTATTTACCATGGCAATATAATACGACAGTGTTCTGTGTCCTGGTCAGTTCTTCGTGAAGTTTCTCATCGAATCTGCTGTAATCCCTCATAACAAACACGTCACGGAACATGCAGCAAGGTACAATATGCCAAACACCTATGAGAGTAGACAGATATTAGTACTAGTAACTTATCGGAATGGAACTACATTGTAACCTCCATGGCCGATTAGCTAGGACTTCAACATCTATGGGGATTCGAGTTGGCGTCTCTAGAGTTGAAGTAGAAAACAACCCATTTAATATTGACTTCACCTAGCTCAATGAAACTTGGCGCCCTATGCAAAACACTGGAACTTGGAGCCCAAGGCAAAATGCTTAGATGACTCCCTTAAATATCATAATAAAAAAAACGACTGTAAAGTAATAATAGTTTGTTTGATAGAATATGGTACAAATGATATACATTAGATACATTACAAATTTTTATACTGAAATCAGTGTGTATTTTGTTACATTATGATTCAATTATAGACACACCTATTAAGGGAGTGTAATTTTTTCAATACAAAAGAAACCCCTTCGGTCTGCTAGTCTGTAAATGTTGCGCTTTTATACAATCGGACATAGACTCAGAATATTGTTTTTAAGGTACTGCTTTTCAAATTTCAAATAATTAGAGCAAACATAATCATAATGCCATGGAATGCCTCCCCCCAAATTCGAACGCCCTAGGCAGTTGCCTAGTTAAAGCTTGTCTTCACCAGTGAATGGTTAGAAACTTGGATTTAAGTATTGTAGACGTGTGATAATATTATTTATATATAATCATCCTTCACTTTTATCTACTTACTAAAAACTACCATTTATCTGTATAGGTTCCAAAATCACAACTTTGAGTAGGTACTAAATAATACCAGAATTATTGCAAAAACCTCGACTTGAAGCGAGACAGTGAAGTTTTATTATTTTCATCATAATAATAATTGCAGTCTATTAATGACACCACTGCAGGAGATAAGCCTTCCAAAATGGATGGGATCATTTTTATTACATGGTTGAAGATTGGATTCCTAGTACTTACTTTTTATGGATATTAATTAGTACTACGGGAAGCTACATTATTCGCTGGTGACATAGGCCATTATTTACAAAGCGTGTAGTCTGTATAGGTTCATACCTAAATAAATATTTCAAATAAAAAGCTTTTGAGCATGTGTAGGTATTACTCATAAAATAGTTGTTTCAACTTAAAAAATCCATATTGTCCCTGGCAGTCTGATATGGGACTCGATCCCACGACCTTTTGCAATCCGGGCGACTGGTCTAACCACTGATCTACCCAGGACAGGACATAACAGGACTGTATAATTTTTCAAGCAATTCAAAATTTATCGTCTATAATAATAATAAAAATTGTTTGTTTACGTAATTTACCTACTTATTTACGAGATTTTTTTTTAATTACTAAAATTCACATCAACTGCTAGTTATTACCTATTTTAATCGGACAATTGTCTACTTTTGAGTCGAATTCGATCTTGAAACTTCTACCACCAATAACGTTGCAACTCGATGGATTATCGTAGTCCAAGTTTCTTGGATAATTTACTAGAAAAAAAAGGGAACATAATTTTCTGTCAACCTAATCATATTAAAACTGTGCGCACTAAAAAAAGAGAACTTATGAGAGAAATTGAAATTATTGAACAGAACTAAGTGCAAATCAATTATTTACCCAGTCTAGTCAATTAAGTAAGCAGTATTTCTTATCCATCAAATAGTATTGGTGATTGGATAGAATAAGTCAGTTTTTATTGCTAGGACTGTATAGACAGACCTCTGTTGTTAGTTGATAATGATGTGTATACTAATTTTAGATTATTGCCTATTCTAAATCATCTAATATATTTGTCGGAGTCATGTGTTGACTGTAATCTGTAAGTGTACCTAATTTAAATAAATAAATAAATGTTTCTCGAAAGCGTTACAATCTCAATATTAGTTAAAGCTTCTGAAATAAGACAACACTTAAAACGGCAATCCGCTAAATATTTAGCGAAATAACATAAGTCGTAATTATACAGTTTTTGCAAGGGACTTTTGTAAATTAACGGCGGATTCCATCGAATACAAATATTAACTATCTGCAGAGGCTCAGCGGAGCGACCGCATCTCTAGCCATGTTTTAGGGGCCGTCCATGTTATTTTCAGTATTTTTAACCACCACCCTCCCACTTGGTGAAACATGGTGAAGAATAAGACTACCCCCCTCTTAAGTCTCAATTTTGACGCCGCCTTTCGGTTTAGTAATTGCGCGGTGATATTTGACTACGTCCCCCTCCCCCTTTGTGATATTTCGTGATTTTTGACGAACCCCTACCCCCTTTCAAGCCTCACGTGATTAATGGATGCACCTTAGCAATAGGATATGACGTCTTATTGATTGTATGCCGATATTTCGATTCATTTCACTAAGGTACGGTATCCTATGGCTAGAATCATACCTAGAGTTATGCGGTCGCACCTGATCGGCCTTCTATATAAATTAAGAATTGGTATATAGTATGGGCAAGTATTTTTTTGTTTGTTTGTTATTTGTTTACGTCTCTATGAAATAAAATGAAAATATCTTTATTCAATTAAGCAGTTTTGAATCGTCCAAAAATTTTTTTTCCCCTACCACTTGTTCAGGACGTCTTATAGCTGACAATAAGAACAAGCGAAAGAAACTTACCAGCTCTTTATTATAAGTAATGAATGACATTTACAAAATCATGTCATTACCAAAATAATATGTATATAGAGCGCTTGTGTGTAATTTGATGGAGACTGACATAGGGTAGGTATTTTTATGGTGATCGCATATCTTATAGAGCTTAAGGAGGCGCACGACACGAATTTTCTTACACCTTGCAAATTAATGATACGTGACATTAGAATTCAGCATAAGTGCGATAGTTCATATGTTTTCAATTTTTAACGCAGGCAAAACGGCAGATAACACCTGGTTTAATACAAAAACAACTAACTGCAGTTGGAGAACACCATTTTCCTCTGCACCGCCTTACTATATTTGAAGAGGAGTGGTATCACGGCAACTTGCACTACCAGCAGACTGGCCGTGAGAGAAGCACCAGTCACTAGGATGGCACTGCAAAATATCACTGTCATTGGTTCATCATCATTATCAATATTATGTCGTCATTGCCGATGACATGTCGTCATTATTGTGGCGACATCTAACTCATCGCACTTTCATCGTCACAGCAATCAATAAGCAAGACGAACTGCAAGAAGATTCAACACACAGTAACGAGATGGCGCTGCACCACTATAGACATTGTAAATTAAGATATTACAAGGCATTTTACAAAGAAATCCTACATCGCCCACAGTAAGTTTCATTACCGATTCGCATAAATAGAATGTCCAACCTACATTAGTAGGACCACGGTCCCGGGGATAACAACACCTAGCTCGGAAGGAGATAATAACCCATTAGTCCCCTTGCCAGTTGTCTCCATAACAAATATACAAATAACGAATGCGCTATTTAACGAATTAATAGCGCATTCGTAAGGCCGTTTTTCCACCAAAGTTGTTCGAGAAAATTCGTCATGCTGGCGAAATAACTTGAGTTCTGTAAAGCGAGCCAAGGTAAATGAGGTGATTCTAGTGGTGTATTTTTGCTCTCATCTGAGATAGAAAAGTAAGAAAAGAGGCTGACTAGTTTTAAAGTTTTAATAAACTCTTTATGTATGCTATTCAAAAATCTTCCACTCCGCATAAGGGCCCTGACGTCTGGGGTTGCCAACATTTCTGCGGTTATAAATAAGTTATTAAATTAAAGTATATTTCAAAAATATGTAGTAAGTATAGCTATTAATCAAATCCCACACCGAAACGAACTGAACATTGACTAAGACAAATACGTTAGGATATACATAAAATAATATGAAATTATATTTTATTCATGCATTTATTGAATCCTATTCAAACAAGCTTAATGAAAACAGTTTTGAATCATAGAATTAATTATAACAAAAAAAATCCTGCCACCAGTTCAGGATGTCTTTTGACTGACAAGAAGAGAACAAGCGAAGGTTAGCAACTTTTACAGAAGTAACGTCATAATTATAAGCTATCTAAGCTGTCGCATTAATCAAAAGTTAAGACATGAAGCGATGCATAAACGAAGATACTATCTTTTACACAACATTGTATATGTTGAAAGTATAGTATTCATGCGTATAGTTTTTCTCCGACAATATTGAGTACGCAGGCCCTAAATATAGTCCAATACTATATGTATATTATAGTACGGTTGGCAACCCTACAAGCGACCAATATTTTTCAATCTTGACGCTCTGTATGAAATAAAACAGGGAGAAAGAAGCAGCCCTTGCCGAGTTTCTTGCCGGTTCCTCTTGGTACAAGGTCTCCCGCCGATTTACGAACCGATGGCGTAGCTTTTCGACTTTCACAAATGTTTGTAATAGCCTAGACTAAATAAATAATTTTGATTTGAAAAAAATGCTTTTATCCAAAGAATATTTGACTTTTTTTTGTATGCACACAAACATCGTAATGCTTGTTGTATTTTTAAGTGGTCCCCAAGTTTAGTTAAATAGCTTAAATGGTTTTATCAGATATAGAGTGCAGTGTAACATATTCGTGCCTACAGACATTGTGTAAAAAATCTTGAACGTCCAACTCACCCAATCATCGTGTAAAGAATTTATCATTCGGTCCTTTTTATAGTTAATTTTCTTTAACATTTTACCTTTTTATTCAATTATTCAGTTTTCTACTACACATTATTTAACCACTTGTCATTTTGGAAGTTAATAATTTGCTTTGACAGGAAATGTCATTTAGTATGTTTTATGGATATTTGACCTTATTCATGAAGTGGAAAGAAAAAGATGACCAATTGCGCGGCAAGAACCGGTAAAATTAGAACAGTTTGTGGATTCTTAATTAATTACTAGAAAACTATTATTGTCACAATAATTTCTTTGGCTACAAACTGACTCGCATATTTATCAATTTTGTCTAAAAAAAGGGGAATAATTACAACCAGATATGGAAAAAATGTATTTTATATGCTTAAATCATAGAATTGAACATCTTTGCCAACCAATCGGAGTACCGATCGGAGGACTGGGAATAACCCGTTTATAAGTAAGTTGATTTTTGTATTTTAACGAAATACATATAGTCTGTGGTCACCAGTATATCTCGATCGCGTTAAAGCAAAAAAATAAATAAATAAAAATATATCTAAACTTCCTGTGCTAAAGTACTCTTCAGTACAGTATATATACTTTACTCTTTGCAGTACAGGCATTCAGCTATGGATCAACGACATAATTTAAAATATTTCTATAGTCAAATTATTATTTTTGTCACATCATTAACATCGATAAAATCAGATATGGTTCAAGAGCCACAGGTTGGGAATCCCTGTAGGGTTGGATAAGCCGGGCTTCTTGCTGGATCCGGGGTCCTTTACTCCGCCCCATGGCATTCTGTAGGGGTTTCACCAGGAAGGTCAATCACGCTTAAACCTTCTCTTCTTAAGACAGAGTTGGAGAGTTAAAAGTTACAAAAAAGGTTATCTACCTCTGCACTAGACATGTGATCTTCGAATAAATTTTTGGGCACCCGTCCTCATCGCAGGCCTAACGCAGTAATTTTTGCTTGATCAGTAATGAAAATTATGATGTTTTAGTTTTTACATAAAAAAATTTAAGTGAAAGAAATAATAGGCCAGTTAAAACAATAAAACAACATATTTATTCTTGGTCTACAAATTAGTAAATAATAGGCCAGTTAAAACAAAAAAAAAACAATACACGATTCTTGGTCTACAAATCAGTGAAGTAATAATGTACATAGATGAATGAAGTCACTGAAACAAAAAAACAAGCGAAGTTATTTTGTAAATATAGGTAATTATTTTTTTTATATTCCATTTCATTCAAATATTGAGAAATGAAACAACTCTTAAACGGTTTCATCGCGTTTGACGTTTCGGACCGTTCACATAAGACTAAGGGTATGTTCCGATATACACTGCGAGCACTGCGCAGTGGTCTTACTGCTGAAAAATCCGTTCCGTTATTGTCTGCCAGTACACTGCTACAGTACCCTAGGGAAATTTATGACGTCATAAATTGCCGCCATATTTGTACTGTGAGCACTGGAGATTTCGAGGTAAGGTGCTCGCAGTGCTTTTGATCACGTGATCAGTCGAAACAGAATCAGAAAATGATAAGTTTTTAAATAAACAAAAAAAAAATACTTACGTTTATTATAAGATGGATTTAATTGATAAATAATTTTTTTATACAATTGTCCAATTCATTTTCTTTTGAAAAGAGGGAATCTTTATATTTATATTCACCTTGCCTTAACAAATTTGAAAATGGCGCCAAAAAATAGGATTAACAGTATACTGGACTGCGTTCCGTTTTAAAAAGTCACCCGTATAACTAGCTATAAAGGAACGGGCTTCCAGTATACTAAATTGACGTCATACTGTTCAGTGGTCGCAGTGTATATCGGAACATACCCTAAGGTATTGATTGTCTTTTTATTAAAAATATAGCTACAATAAAAAAAATGTTTCAGTGTGCCGTGACGTGATGCGACGCCATGACAGAAGTGACGTTTTCGCGGGAAATTTTGAAAATAAATTTTATTTTTAGTATTTAATTAATTATATGTATGATATAAATATACAACGTGTCCCAAAATTCAACGATAAGCGGGCGCCAAGAGGTAGACCTGCTCATGTGTACTTATGGAAAAATAAGAAAAAAATTATATCTTATCTTTTTTATTATAAAATTAAATTCGAAAATCTTCGAAAATTTACACCTTTTATGATATTTTCAACTACCACGACCACAACTTCTCAATTATGTTCAATCTTTTTTTGGTATCGGATACCTAAGTAGCACTACTATTCGCTACAATTCTTTCGAAAATTTTCGAATTTTATTTTATAATAAAGAAGATTAATAAGATATAATTTTTTTCTTATTTTTCCATAAGTACACATGAGCAGGTCTACCTCTTGGCGCCCGCTTATCGTTGAATTTTGGGACACGTTGTATATCTATAAAACAAAAATATCTTGAAAAAAAAAGTTGGCTACAAACCTATTTAGAGAAACGAAAAAGTCCAATATTTGCAATATTATTATTTGTAAAAGTGTCGATTGTACTAAAATAAAAATTATTGAGATTTCAATATTGGTTATGTAAACAATCTTACTTGACGATAGTAGGGAATTTTTCCTCATTACAAATCCACATATGATATCCTTCAGCGAACTCCTCGAACCAAACGGGCGCGTCGTTCTCAGATCGTGAGGTCTTCGCTACTATATAGAGCTGTATTGAAAAAAATAACATAACCTAAAAGACACACGATATGACAATTCTATATGCTATAGGGAACTTACATAATACTCTGTATGTGGATACATCGTAAGGGTTTTATTTGATAAGTCTTCGAAAATACTTTCGAAAATCGTTCATGCCGCCCGATCTATTGGTTCCTGTCACTCGATGGGTTCACGTATGGGAGTCCCACATAGGTACTCCTTTGGCTTGTATCTCAGCGCAGAATTATTGTATCAATTCTTCCTCTTGAGTTCACTGTAGAGAAGCTCAGTGGCGTAGTGGATAAGCACCGCGGTCCGCGATCGTGGTCGTTAAGCAACTTTCGCAAGGGTCGGTCACGGGATGGGTGACCAAAAAATTTATTATCTCGAGCTACTCCGTGCTTCGGAAGGCACGTTAAGCCGTTGGTCCCGGCTGCATTTGCAGTCGTTAATACCCTCCAATCCGCATTGGGCCAGCGTGGAGGGTCATGGCCCATCCTCCTTAACCATCCATAAGGAAGGCCTGAGCCCCTGCAGTGGGGACGTAAAAGGGCTGATGATGATGGTGAGTTCACTAGCGCCAGAGTCTGCTAGTGAACCAATCAAGAGTGTGGAGCGGCACAATTGCAATGTCATTCGATCGCTATTGCGTTCGAGAGTTAGGGGGACAGGTATTATAGGATTCAACTCTTGGAGCACAATATTTTATTTATTTTGGGTCATTTGCCAGTTTTGGCTGCCCCAAATATTAGTGACCTTAATTTTCTAATTTTCAAAACTACCACAATCCCTTTTAAAGGCATAGCAATTATTATAACGATTAATGATATAATGTTACATTAAAATCGGAATTTTAGCACGAATGATGATTTGAATGATCAAGAGACATAATAAAAACTTAGTAACTGAAACTTAAAGTAATTTTTGCTTCTTAGACAATGAATGAATGAATGAATGAATGAACACTTTATTGTACTTGAAAATAAAATCAACATAACAATTAATAACAATAAACTGTACAATTGGCGGCCTTATCGCTAAAAAGCAATATCTTCCAGGCAACCAAAAGTTAGACTGGACAGTTACATAAAAAAGATGGGTAGTAAATGGTGTCCTACACAGTTGAAATAAAAAATTTCCATACTAATATATTTTTGCTTCTTAGACAATGAATGAATGAATGAACACTTTATTGTACTTGAAAATAAAATCAACATAACAATTAATAACAATAAACTGTACAATTGGCGGCCTTATCGCTAGAAAGCAATATCTTCCAGGCAACCAAAAGTTAGACTGGACAGTTACATAAAAAAGATGGGTAGTAAATGGTGTCCTACACAGTTGAAATGAAAAATTTCCATACTAATATATACACACATACACAATTCCAATAGACGTCAAATTAACGATATCGTTAATTAAATATCTTAAAGAAAACGTCGCCATCGCAATCGTTATCATATTTCAAATAATTGTAACGTGAAATTGATATCTTTCAAATGTCAAATTGAAAGTTATTGCGGCGGCCCTAGGCCCGGGCCTACTGTGGCCTTAACTTAAATCCGCCCTAGTATTGAATGTCTATAAAAAGCTCAGGCTAGGCCGGCTGATGATGTCTCATAAATAAAGCTAGTTGTACAGTAAAACACATCTAATATAGTTCACTAATGCATATACGGTACCACAATATGCCAAATTTATGGAATGGATTTTGACTTCTACCGTTAACATATTAAGGTTTAAATTCGAGTGAAAAAGGTTTTAAAGAAGTGCAGCTAATCATGCCTAATCAGAATTAATCAAGTATCGCGCCATCAGAACATTCATGCGCCTGACCAAAAATTGTAAACCAAATAAGTTTAAGTTTATAACTTATGGTTATTAAAACAAGATTGCTTAAGATAGGCTTGATGACAGTTTAAAAACAATCTATTTAGTCCTTCAGTCAGAAAATAAAACATATTAGATTTTTGTTTCAATTTAACAAGAAATGGCAGAGATAATAGACATGAAAGTTAAGAAGTGGGGGCTTGCTACGTCACAACTATGTGATAATTGTGCAAAGGTGTGACGTCATCCGACATTCCAACTCAATGTGTATCTTAGTAATTTATTGATTTAGTAAAAATAAAAATAAAATGTGTTCAATAATCTACTTGACAGAAACAAACAAAGATTATTCATTTCTATTTCAACTGCTGTTGTTGTGTTTATTATAGTTTGAAATTTACCTTTTCTGATAACGCAATCGGAATAATTGTATCGTCTCTCGCATGCATGATAAGAAGTGGCACACTCTTCAACGAAGTCACATACTTTTCAGAATTCAACCGTAAATTATTATCGGTTGTCCAATAATGTTTCACCATAGTCTTGAAATATGGGAGTACTAAAAGCCACTGTGAATAAAAAACATAATAAATTAATAACTTATTACTAAATTAAGGATCAAAAATCTTTTTAAAAACAAATTTAATGAGCCCAAATGCGACAGAGTGGCGTTATTTAATTATTTAAGTACAATGCAGGACATGGCCACCTTGGTCACATTTTAACATTTCGAAAGTGTTTATTTTTTTAAAGTATAACTGGGAAAAAATGATTTACTACTAGTTTGATATTTTTGCTTCGGTTTTGTCTACGTCTGACGACAACCGAAATAAATTGTTCACCGAACTCAACAACAACAGGCAACAGGTCATCGCGCGATTTGGTATTCAATTAAGTCATTTTTAATAAATGTAACTAATCCTTAGCCAGTTGCTATATATATATTTTTAGATGAATTTATTCGTTGACTGAGTGAGTGAGTTCACTTTAATGGTCACTAATGCTGACGCAATACGAACAGTTTGACGATACAAGACCAAGTGGCCTGTCCCATGTACGAAACTACTACCACTACTAGATCAAGTGTCAAAATAGAGTTCAATTCAAAATTGCGAATTATTGATAGAAAATACTAGGAAGTTAGCAAATAGATCTGCAGGTCTGCATGAAGGCAGGGATCGGCGTAGGTAACCTAAAACCACTCAAGATTTAATCCGCTGAATTTCTTGAGTTTGTTTCATGTTTAGTTTATTAGCCATATTTATACCAGTTTATTTTTCGTTTGCTCAAATAGAAAGTGACAATAATACAACTTCGAATGCGGCGGTTCTTTCCTGGGTTTATTAATTCACCGCGTAAACAACGTTCATAATCAGCCTTACTACGTTCTCACTACAAGGGATCAGGCCTTCCTTATGGATGGTTAAGGAGGATGGGTTAAAACCCTCCACGCTGGCCCAATGCGAATTTGAAGGTATTAATGACTTCAAATGCAGCCGGGACGAACGGTTTGATGTGCTTTCCGAAACAGGCAGAAACTCGAGATAGTAATTGTTTGGTCATCCATCCCGTGACCGCCCCTTACGAAAGTTGCTTAACAACAACGATCGCGGTGCTTATCTACTATGCCATCGAGCTACTCAATGTTAACAATGTTACTTACATCTAACTTTCCGAATTCTGCAGCACAATGACCTAGCTGGTTATAGCCAGATTCTAAAATTAAGCCACGAGGTAGCGGCACTGGTTTTTTCAGCTTCAACAACGTCGCACTGAATTCGTCTAGTTTACTGAGCGCTTTGTTAGTTATTCCTGAACCTGTTTTTTGTTATAAACAAAGACAATAGGGAATATTACGCAAATGTTAAAGCATGTGCCGGTGCTGCCATCCACGTCGACCGGATGGCAGCACTGGCACATGTAGTTATCAAATAAAATTTTAAGAACATTCTATCTTTTGGAAATTTTTACATATACATATGCAGTAACGATTTGTTTTTGCATAAAATTCCATTTCAGTTTAACAAGAAATACGAGCATAGATACGAGTAATAAGCGTTAAAGTTTAGGATTGGGACTCGCTACGTCACAGTTTTGTAGAAAATGTACTAAAGCGTGACGTCATGCGACATTGCAATTAATGTATCTGCACAATTAATGAGGAAGTATTTAAAAAAATCATTAGTTCCCGAAATCAAACTAGATGTCGCCACGGTACTTTCCTGATTTTTCCATGACAACTCTTCCAGTTTTTTTTCATGTATAAAAGTAAATTAATTTTCAAAACTCAATTAACAACTCTGGTCTATTTGTACTTTTCGTATTTGTATTGATATCTAACTTTCAGAATTTAATTATGTTAGTTAAAAGGAAAAAAAATGACTACTTTTCGTCCATTCGTTTCCTGCAAAAATCAACTTTTGCTAAAGTCGCCATCTAGTGAGGTGATTTTTGTGCTTTCTTTTTTTTCTTAAAATACTTCCTCATTGATTACGCAGAAAATAAAAAATGTGTTTTATGTTCTTCAAAAGGGACAGTTAAAATAAATTACTCGTCATTCCTATTGGCCTTTTTTATTAGATAACGTATGTGGCTTTCCGAATACGATCCGTTACCTACTAGGCCACAGTTTCAAACTGTATGCAATTTAAATGTCATCAGAATACTGCATCAATTACAAGGAGATAATCTGAAGTTGCTACTGCTATACAAAGGACGTATGCAAATGATAGTTGCACTTTGGGCATTTCAGTTTCTTTTTCTGATGCTCAATAAAGGTAATCTATTTTTCTTTCTATATACAAGAATCAGACTGTTCTTTTGTCTCGTTAAATTTCGAGAACAGCTGGGCCGATTAAGTTGATTTTTGTTTTGAAAAATTTTTTGTAGTCCAAGGAAGGTTTAAACGATGAGTGATACCAATCAAATCGGGACATCTAGTCATATATAAAATTAATAAAACGTTTGCTAGAGTCTCGTTAAAACTAGAGACAAGGTCAACTGATTAGTGTATTTTTTGTGTAATAATGTGACGTCATACTGGCATACGAGGCTTATCAGATAGTACCTTAATGAATAAATAAATAAAAAAAAAAAAAATCTTAATAATTTCTGCGATGGTATCGTGTCTGTCGGGTTGTTGCATTCCCTAAAATATGGTTGAGCGAATAGATGGCTGGCTCATGCGCCATGTTCGTGAACGGTGGCTGCTAGTGGGGATGAGTCTGCTCTGGACTACTTAATTTCGCCCATTTTCTTTTATTTTGAATACTGTATATTGATTTGTCGATGTGTAAGTATGACTCACCAACCGGCATATTAATAAGAAATCTAAAAATATCTGTTTTATTATTTCTGATACTGTTTTATTCTTTCCCATAAGACGAAAAGTCCAACAAGAAGAAGTCTGAAATAAAATAGGGAGAGAAAAAAGCAGCCCTTGCGGTGTTTCTTGCCGGTTCTTCACAGTACAAGATCTCCCGCCGTAGTTTTGCAAACCGTTGGTATAGTTTTCGATTTTCACAAGTGCTATGTAACAGCCTAGACTGAATAATTGATTTTTAAATTTGATTTGCTGTACATTGTAAATAATAATTTCATTTATTTCTTCCACAGAGTTGAATACTATAAGATCACAAGGTTTTTCTACTTAGGTTTTACTACTATCTAAGCGTTAGAAAATGCCTGTACTTTAGGCCACTAGGTTCACTTCCTCTTATACATACAGTCTTACTTGCAATTTAATAAAGTACATGAGTGCATGTCTCAAATAACTTGAAAGGAAAACGCAATGACAATACAAGATACGTAGATTGCATTTTATAAATGTTGCAATTTATAAAATTTGCACTGTTCACAAGGTCTAGCATAGAAAAGACTCAGAAATTGTCAGCACTGTATAAAGAAAATAGCATGGGGCCCAATACAGATCCCTGCGGTACCCATCTTTCCGAGTCAAAACCGATCAAGAATTAATCCAAATCCAACTCGCACATAAATAAATCATATTTACCTAATGAGTGACCCCACACAAACACAGGACTGTCTCCGCAAACTTGGTGCACCCAAGAGTATACTGCAAGGAAATCTTCAACCGCACCCATCCTGCTTGGCAGTATACTTGTGGAAATTCCGTATCCTGAAATGATAAAATAAATATACATATTAAATTTCTATACTGTTCGGAGTAATCGGTTAGAAACAAGGATATTCTCATGGGTTATTTATAATATAGTCCGGTCATTGAACAGAGAAAACTTTGCACAATAACCCGACACATCATATATCTTTTACTCATGCGCAATTTTATCGATATTGCAATCTTATGCATCTAGCCAATTGTGTCATAGTACATAAACTATTTATAGTAAAGTGGCATAAAGGTCAACTAAGGCCTCTAAAGCCTAATTGTCTAATTTAATATAAATATTCAACCAATCATGTTTTGAATGATGAAGAAACATAATAAAAACATAGTAACTTGGTGGCGTAGTGGATAAGCGCCGCGGCCCGCGATCGTAGTCGTTAAGCAACTTTCGCAAGGGTCGGTCACAGGATGGGTGACCAAAAAAAAATATTATCTCGAGCTACTCCGTGCTTCGGAAGGCACGTTAAGCCGTTGGTCCCGGCTGCATTTGCAGTCGTTAATACCCTCCAATCCGCATTGGGTCAGCGTGGAGGGTCATGGTCCATCCTCCTTAACCATCCATAAGGAGGGCCTGAGCCCCGCAGTGGGGATGTAAAAGGGCTGGTGATGATGATGATGAACTTAAATGTAATAGTTATTTGCGTCTTGTGTTTGCCTTAGATAATTCCAATTTACCGTCAAAACGATATCGTTCATTAAATATCTCTCAAATATTTTTGACGTATTCGTCACGATATCATTCGCTATCGCATGTTATATAGTTGAAGCGCTAATTTCGTGAACATCTATCGATGTCAAATTGAAAGGGATTGAGTTATATTTTAAAGTAAGACTATTGGGCTCGATGGTATATTGGTGTAAGTAGACCGTTCTACAATTTCCTTAAACGACTGATATGCACCTACACCCGAGGTTTGCCGTACTTTATGGTGATAACGGACATATGGAGAATCCACGGTGGAGCTCGAGATAATAATCTTTTTGGTCACCCATCTCGTGTCCAACCATTGCTTAAGTTGTTATGATATTTATTCTGATTTTCTTAGCGATGTATTAAAATTGCTTTTAGAAATTTTATAGATGAATTCATGTTTTATTTTTAGCTATTTATGTTAAAACAATACCATGCCATCGGTTAACTGTAAATATATATTTTTTGTACTTACCTCTATAATCTAATGTTATCACGTGACAATCTAGCTTTTGTAATATTTTATATAACGACACTCTGTGGGGGTCGCCTACGGTTTGGGTTATACCTGTATAAAAATACAGAAAAAAAAAAAAAATAGACCAAAACACAGCAAAAACTAAAATAAACAAGTGGAGACAGACTAGCGCACGAAGGGTTCTGTATCGAAAACAGAATGGGAAATGGAAGCCCCCCTTTAATATTTACTTTATTGTGGTATTTAGTATTTGTTGTTAAAGCGGCAACAGAAATATATCATTTGTCAAAATTTCAACTGTCTATTTTTCACGGTTCATAAGATACAGCCTGGTGGCAGACTAACAGACAGACCACAAGACAGACAGACAGCGAAGTCTTAGGAATAGAGTTAAAACCCAAAAACGAGAAATACTAATAAAATTTACACATCTATACTAATATTATATAAAGATGAAAATTTGTTTGTGTGTTTGTTTGGACGGAAAAGTTCTCGAGTGGCGATCACGTACCTGAAAACGCCTTATAAAGGTAAACTAAACTATCTTATAAAGGTTGCGGCAGCGCAGGACCTATCGTGGAGATCTATGGGGGAGGTCTATGCTCAGAAGTGGACGTCTTATAGCTGATGATGAACAAGCCTCACGTTTCAAACTTACCGTGACAGTATACTATAACAGGTTTTCGTGAATACTTCAATTGGTCCGCGAAAAAGCTGCTCACTTCCTCTGGATCATCATCATTTAGAGATTGCAATTTCTCAGTTGAACTTTGAGGTAATATATGCCAGACACCTGTCGATAACATATGGTTACGAATAAATGTATGAAAATTATCGGTAATTCATTGTTTAGGTCAGTGTTTCTCTAAGTTTTGGCTCAACGAACCCCCGTAAAAGATGCCAGGTAACCTTAAAAATAATAAAATTGGTTATTGAAGAAAATAAGGCCTTTTTATACTAATATTTTTTGTGTAATGTTTAAGTATTTTCATGAATATTATACATTGGAAAGATTTGATTGTTTGTTTCTTTGTATGTCTGTTTGTTTGCATCTAATAGGCTCCGAAACTACTGGACCAATTTTATGATTTCTTTCGTTAGTACATTATCCGGGATTGACAGACTATAATTTATGGGTTCGAAGTCACGGGACAACAGCTAGTATTTAAATAAAAGGTAACAAATACAGTGCCAATTAAATATCTCTTCAATATTAATGTGCTGGGTTTGTTTTTCGTTGAAAGGTTTGAAATAATTTTGGACAATTTAACCGTCGAATGGCGAGCCCTTAGAGATCGTGCTCTCCATTTTAGAAACCCTGTCATTGTTAAATACATTACCTGACAGACATGGTCAGAAGAGGTAGGATCACAGTTGGGTCACCGAGAACATGACCGTATTGTTTAGAATTAATTTTATTTTGATTTACTATATTAATGCAATTTCATTTTGACATAACTTTGTACATCAAAAAAAAAAAGACATAATAAAATCCCATATCTCATAACATAACCTATTTACTTTTCTATTTAATAGGTAATAAAACATAAATCAATATTAGAAAATTTGATGATATTAACATATTAGCATTTCTTAGATTGCCGTTAGTTTACAAAATACCTTTATATAGCTTTAATAGCAAATATGCCTGTTCAATAACTTCAAGACATAACATACCTATGGAAACTTCTAATTGGCTTCATGTTCGCTATAAAATTTTTATTGTTATGTGGTAACAAATAAATAAAAACAAATACTTAAACCAAATGTCTTACCTAGCTCTATTTCTTGATTGTCTATGGTCGAATGATGTTTTATAGTGAGACTTGTGCCTCCTACAATTCCAAAGTCATTTACATTCTTGAGATTCAAAAACGGTGTTTGAACTGTAAAAGAGAGGTTCACTTTTTACTATAAGAAATATAAATATAAATATACAGATTATTACCTATAAATGACCTAGACGTTTAGTATAGTAGCCAATATGAGGGCGTGTAAGTTCCCTGAGCATAAATGTCCTATTTACCAAAGCCCTCTAACGTGTGACGTAACTAATGGACAGGCCGGAGGCAAGTGCCTCAGCAATGGAAGCCAATATTTTCATGATGATGGAAAACTAATTAATTGCAGTTTATTCACTTTTTAATTTCATATGTACGAGTATCATCAGCAGTCTATTGCTGTCCCCACTGTTGGGGCTCAGGTCCTCTTTATGTATCTACCACAGTGAATTGATAGGTGTTAACGACTGCAAATGCAGCCAGAACCAACGACTTAACGTGTCTTCCGAAGCACGGAGTATCTCAATCTCAGTAATAGATTTTTGGTCATCCATCCTATGACCGCCCCTTACGAAAGTTGTTTAACAAACGTATCGCGGACCTAGCAAATCACCCAACACTGTGCCAACGATATCCTAAATTTCACATATTATTTTGCGAACTCACCTTTATGCAAAAACAAAGCGTGTCGTCGTATTTTACCGTTCAGTGCTAAGAATGGAATACATAGATACAATATGAAAACAACCAATGACACACGTTCTCCGAATAAAAAATAACTGTAAAAAAAACATAGTTTTAACTTCAACCAAATTCAATTCGAAGTTATAGGTGAACTCCGAATTGAATGTCTAGAACAGTGTTTCCCACTTTGCAGGTAACGTAAGCCGGTATCTATAAATACACTCAAAAGCACAATTAACCACCCACCTTCTATTTCTTTTAATTCGCAGAAATCGCCAATCTTAGGCCATATTTTATTAAACAAATGTTAAAAACAATACTTAAAGAAAAAGAAACCACAAATTGTTGGAAAAAGTATTTTATTAAAGAATCCTTCTAAAAATCGATTTTTTATTTAAATTTTGGTTTTGAAAATAATGGGGCATTTAAAAGAAAAAATCAAATGTATAGTGGACCTTGCGGTATGGCAACGTGCGTGGCAATGGCAACAGAGGAATGACATGATCTTGAAGAACTTCCACGTATCTTTGAGCGTTTAAGCTTCTTCTATCGAACACAACAAGATCGGTACGAGTCTTATAAGAGAGACCTCCCCTTACCATTATGGACCCTCCCTGGTAACCTACAGTTTCAGTTACCTACCTACCTACTTACTGTACATGGAGCAAATCTCTCATTTCGCCTGTAGACACGCTAACATTCATCTGGACCTCTTAAGGTTATTCTGCTCTCATCTGAGAACAGTAAGTTCTTTCATTCCTCTACAGTCTAGTCAGCTTATTCTCGCGCAAAACCAAGTCTAGCTCTATGGTGTCGTGGGAGTAGTTGCAGAGCGCGAGCTGGACGTAAAGCCCTCGAATTACTTTCTGCTAGTCTTCTACTAATGGTACGTTCATTGACACTAATATTTATCACCTCAAAAAGACGCGTACGAGTTTCAGTAGCGGTCGAAAAACGACTTCTCAACACATTGGGACAACGAAACGGTCATCTCGAGTCGAAGTGCATCGATGTCGGCGTTGACCTGACCTGCAGGTTAATAAGCCAGTCTCCCGAAATCGTCTGATGCAATCTCGTACCATAGTTCGATGTACACAGTGTGCGAGCGACGCGAAGCTGGCTATACCCCGCATCAGCTAAAGCCACTGCTCTAGCTACATCAGTTGCATCGAGTGGCATTTTTTGCAATCACAAACAATAAGCACACACTATAATTTCAAATTAAACATTCGCCAACTATGATAGAAAATAACAGGTAACACAGCAGCAACAATGTAAAACAATGAGTAAAGGTATAAGTGTTTTATTTATTGCTAGAGTACCCACTTAACAAAAACCAAAACAGTTGATAAGCCATAGTTGACGGAACCAAACAGGGTGGTGATTAATACAGGTGGGCGGTTAATGGTGCCTGTGAATGTATAATGGCGTCACACAGCTTATTTAAATGATAATGATACCTTTTATAATCCATTGAGCCGTTTAATTCGATATTTTAGTATTTGAAACAAAAAAAATATATATATAATGGCGTCGCACAGTCGTCATATTTAATTTTTTTAACATTACCTATTTAAGAATAATCGGCTACTGCTAAGACAAATCTAACGAAACCCCAATTATCTAAATCGGGTCACCGGTTCCGAAGTTATGAGGCACAGCTATATAAGTACATACAAGATACGCGCGAAAACCATATACGGAAGGTATATGGTTTACAGTTGTGTAAAATCTGGTCGCAATATTCCCGCTTTGTTTACATTAAGTAAGTTCCTCAAGCAAATAAAAAGGTAAAAAAAGCCATATAAAAGTATTTAGTATTAATAAATACCTTTATACGAGCAATTCAAATTCAATCTTAATCTCGGAAACGGAAATGGATAAAAAAGATTTTTTTAATGCAGGTTTCACTTAAAAAAAAAGATCTGTAATTTTAGTATTTTCATCTAATCGAACCAGTTTGGGTTTAAACGAAGAGGCAGTGTGAAAATTTACATGGCCATGGCAAAACAATCTTTGGGAATCACTGGCTAGAAGTAATCAACTTCACAAAATCTTCCAATGAAAAGCTTCATTTTTTCATTAGTTCCAAAATCACCTCGCGAAATAAAATTGTATTCACCTCGTCTTTGCAGTAGACTTCACTTGGCAACTGTCTAACAGTTTTCTCAAGGGAGAGTCTAGCGGAGCGTCATGAGGTCATGACCCCTACTGAGCGTCAACCATTATTACTTTTAAATTCTGGGGTTATCTTTTATAGCGAAAAAAGTTGTTGAAATAGATGATGATGACAGTAATAAATGACAAGAAATAAAAAATGTTGCTCAATGTGTTGCTCACACGAGAATCTAAATGTTGTCTAGTGAAAAAATATTTTGTAGCAAATCCTTTACAACCGTATTTTTTTCATAAACCATTTAAATTTTGGTCTGCACTATTTAGACGTGACCAATAGTCAGGACAATCCAGTAAAATCTAAAATCATTCTGTTTCATCGGTCTGGCTTGAAATTTTTTTTTTCCATTTACATGGACTTGGCCAATGTTTGCCTGACTTATTGTCTCGCCTACTGGAAGAGTGTAAATGGACCATCTGAAATAGGTATACATAAATACTATTTTTATAACAAAAAAATATATATATATATATACTTACAGTGAAGAGAAAAATACAACTAATTTAAATACCGCTTTCAACATTTTCATAAAATAAAAAATCTAAATATTTTCTTAACTTAACTTCTGGCAATGACTCTAGTTGCGTTTAACTTATACTAATGCTCGATGTTCTAGAATTTGTTCATACTGTTTTACGAGTTGATAAGTCAAGGTTAACTAACATTGTGATTCATTTTGGTTTACTTGTAAAGGTCTATTCACAATAACGCATTCAGTTCGTACGTGCTTGTTTACATAAAGACTTTTTTAGCGTATTTGTTTTTGTATACATAATTAAAGATATACTTCGCTATACTTAATATAGTAGGTAAATATATATACCTATATATTATTATAATGTATGAAAGAAAATATCTAAATATTTTCATAGAAATAAGAGTTAGGTCGTTATGGGCATAAAAAAATCTTGCCAGTTTGTTAAATTATGACATCACAAGTCTAGTAGTCTGTCCTTTTATTATCAAGATTTTAAAATGTATATATGTATATATATGGACTATACGTCAAAGTTAAATTTCTCAGATATTTTGGGATAATGTTATATGTATATCACATTAAAATTTTGTGCGCATTAAAGTCAGAAATTTGACTATTTTACTAGGCAAAGAATAAATAAATTAATCATCAATGGAATCATATACTACCCTGGTAACAGTGCTTGTCTCGCCTAACCAACGTTTGTACAGATTTTTTTTTAAGATTTGGCGTAAAGACAAAACCTGAATGTCTAATATCTATCTAGTTGCCGGGACCAATGAGAACTTGTTTCTAGCAAATTTGACGACAGATGCGTCAGCGCCTCTTCAGTCGCGTCTATTACGTAAACCTCGAACCGTGGGGTCTGAATACGAACATTTTATTTTCAATGTAGCAAAATTATTATAGATGGCGCCATTGGTATGAATCAAAAGTAACACTAATACGTATTGTCAGAAGCTAAACGCTCGGCAAGCTGACAGAAATACTGTCTAGTGTGAAAGATTAAGTATCCATATACAACGTGTCCCAAAATTCAACGATAAGCGGGCGCCAAGAGATTTTCGAATTTAATTTAATTATAAAAAAGATAAGATATAATTTTTTTCTTATTTTTCCATAAGTACACATGAGCATTGGGACACGTTGTATATGTTAGTTGTGGAGTTCCGCAACCGAAGACACGGGACGTATCTACCGCTAGATATGAAGCGGCCCTTATTCCCATGCTTCGATAGGAGACTTTACAAAACGTTTAAACGTAATTAACTATATGTCAATGCTACATCACAAGAGTACCTAAAATAAAACGATTATGTAATAAAAAATATCTTGTATTCAGCTTAAAGCACGAAAATAAATACAATTAGCTAACTTCATTATAATAATACACATTTCCAAAACATGGATTTGTGTAAATTCTTTTTTGTTCTTGCTATAATCATTAAATAAAAAGTGTATCTGAAATTTAAACCTTACTGTGCACAATACAATGCATATTTTAGAAAACACCTTAATATTGACATTTTCTATTTAATTAAAATTCATCACAATCCATATGGAATATTATTATTTTTTTAATTGGTAAGTTAATCTTAAACATTAAATAAGAATTTAAAAAAAAAATCTTAGAATAGAACAATAATCAGTTGCCAAAATGTATGAAATTTGAATCAAATTAATTTATACATGTTATTGAAGTAATTAGCAGAAATTGTAATTTTTTGTCATTTAGTTATCTAAGTAATGTTAATCTAATGTACATATTTTTTTGCATGTTTTACGAGCCTTACATGATGCAAGTAAACTTACTTATGTAAACTATAAATGGTATTGATAATTTAATAAAAAAGTATACACGGTTGCACGTCAGACTATACATCTTGGGCTTTGTCCCAACCGCGCTTCGTATAGACCTTCCTTACTAAGAAGTCTGCTTACGCTTGTGGTGTGTAGCGAGAAGTGCGGCCATGCTTACATTATATATTGTTAAAAAAATCTATACAACACGTATTTTATCACAAAATGCCGAATAAAAAACAATACAAATCTTGTCTAAAACTAAAAATAAATATATTCAATAATAATATCGCCTATTACAAATATTTTGTACATATAAATGGAATGAAATTGAAAAAAATATTTACCTTAAGTACCTATTGAATACTGAATTATAAATAAATCACAACAATTTTCAGAATAAAAAAAACAAACCAATAAATTTTTCTATAGGTAAACATAAAGATTAAGATAAATGACAACTACAAGAAAAAATTAACTTTATAACCAACGCACATAATTAAAAAATTTACAAAAGTAAAAAGTAACACATTGAAATTTATTGTCTAATAGAGCCTCAAGGCTTAAAGGTTGAGGTTACAGCGTTTTTCTTTGTAGATGTCAGCGTGTAGAGACGGTAGAAATCACAGTTTAAATTGAATTTAAAATATTTAAGTATTTTATAAAATGAGTATATTAATTTGTTTGTGACTAAAATACTGGGCTTTATATTATATCAATTGACTTACATTTCAACAGTGATCCTTTACGAAGTCCCTGCAAAGAAAATAATATAATTTAATTAGTGGAAATAATTGGAAGTCAGTGGCGTAGTGGATAAGCACTGCAGCCAGCGATCGTTGTTGTTAAGCAACTTTCGGAAGGGTCGGTGACGGGGTGGATGATTAAAAAAAAATTATCTCGAGCTACTTCGTGCTTCGGAAGACACGTTAAGTCGTTGGCACCGGCTGCACTTGTAGTAACTTACTACTACGTCTTGTAAGAGCGTAACCAAGACAGTTAGTTTCTTTTTCAGATTATAAACGGATGTCAAATTAAATGTGTACTTTACGAATATGTGATACCCAGGCCTTCGAGAGTCTTATTTGTGGACTTTTAAATTATTCGCGTATTTTAAATTATTATTAGATACAAAATAACTCAGCCAACATTAGCGACGCTTTTGCCAGACTGCGCTCAGGTGTGCTAATGGGTGTAGATAACTTTTTTATATTTTGATTTTATACATACATAAAATATTTTATATATAAATTTTTTTAAATTTTTTTTTGTTTATTATTCTTGGAAAACCAACAGCTAAACAAACATGATAGATTTTAGCATAACAAACATTAAGCCAATTATAGGTTTGCACATATAGAAATACCTTAGATCTAACAGTAATTTCGCACACAAGTTACACAACAATCAAATAAGTAATCGTACCTGCGCCATTAGTTAACGAGACAGTAAGTATTCTATTAGTTTCTGCTTAAATGAATTAATGTTGCAATCGAGGATCTCAACATCATACCCACACTCATCAAGCATCATAATTAAGCTTACGCTGGCCCTAACTATAAAGCTATTTTGCCTATAATTTGTAGATGACGAGGGAATCGTTTTAGGTCGGTAATATCTCTGCGATCATGTCGGGACTGAAAATTTGATGATACTCAACAATTCTGGACAATCGACTTGACAATTTATAATTTTAAGTAGATATACAATGTCAGCTACTGTTCTACGGAGCACTAGTGCCAGTAAACGTTGCTCTTTACATACTTGGAGGTATTCAGATGAATCATATGTTATAAAAAGTAACTTCTAATGTCGTTCGACTACATGTTTATGTATTTCAAAAAGGTAATTATGATTAAACAAACTCAATTTAATAATTTACAAACCTAAATGTAAGAAACTCAAAAAATATAACATGGATTGTATTGAAAACGACATCTTGCGGAAAACTATGACAGTATTGTTATTATATTGTTGGCAATAGAATAAACGATGGCAGAAATGTAACGCCAATGAACGGCGAGTCAGTGTGAAATAAAGTATTTATCAAGTAATATTGGTTTAAATCAATGCATCGTCCAACTTCTGATGTCGGCCAATAATAATAATGAAGTTATTATGATTTAAATAGAAATTATGTATATTTAAAATAAAATTATGTCTTAAAATATCGTCCAAGTTTATGTATCAAGGAAAACCCTAAAAGGTTTTATTTGGTAATTGTAAATTTATATTTAGTTAAACATACGAACTGTTTTTATATAAATTTTTTGTTTGTTTTAGTTTTTCTTTTCACGGGATGGGTGACCAAAAAATTATTATCTCGAGCTACTCCGTGTTTCGGAAGGCACGTCAAGCCGTTGGTCCCGCCTGCATTTGCATTCATTAATACTCTCCAATCCGCATTGGGCCAGCGTGGAGGGTCATGGCCCATCCTCCTTAACCATCCATAAGGAAGGCCTGAGCCCCTAAAAGGGTTGATGATGATGATGAAATCAATTCTCAAGCTTAGTCAGCCTTTCATTAATTCGCCCAAGCATCGAACCTGCCACAAAACTAATTAATTGTCAATTCATCAGCGTAGCGATCGTCTTACTTCAATTTTGAGGTAATTTTTTTAACAGGTAACTAAATTAAATGAACTTTTTGGTGGCTATTAAATCAGCCGTATTGTTCAATGGATAGCCACTCAATTGAACGGCTGTTTTTTACCAGTTGGCTGCGACATTCATTACGTTAAATTCTCTGAGTTCTGACATGACTAAGATGGTCGTGATGTCACGCGCTATTTGAAGTCACGTGACAATGAGCATAAAATATTTGTAATTTCGCAATAAATTTAAGCAATATTATAAATTTAATAAGCATAAAAGTGTGAGTATTGGTAATAGGATATTAAACATTACCAGAAAAAAAGATGTATTTATTTTCGTTTACTGTCTAAACCCGTGTTTGCTTAGTTTTATGGTGCCAGTTTTCGAACGTAACCGATCTGCCTTTCTTAGTGTAATATCATTGCTCGTCAGTCTTATTTATATCGCCATAAACGTATGTCGACAGTGCGTTTAAAAATTGCTTAGGTTTAGTGTCCGAAAAATCCGAGTAGGATAACATTTGTATTTTACTGTCAAAACCAATTAGATGGCCTAGTTGGTTTTGACAGTAAAATACAAATGTTATCGTCGCCATGATGTAGACATGAATGTAGATATAGAAAAATATAATCATCATAAAAATTGTATTCAGTATATCTCATTCTGGATTGAAGATTACATTATTGAACAACAAAGTAAAATATATACAAATTAAAATACAAGATATTAAAATTGGATGTGCAATAGACGGCCTTATCGCTGAACAGTGATCTCTACTAGGCAACCTATTTACTGGTTAGAACTGCTGATAGATAATTGTGGGTCGTATACATACATAAAATAACAAATGTAATAATTTTAAGCTTTACTAATTATTATAAAGCTGAAGAGTTTGTTTGTTAGTTTCAACGCGCTAATCTCGGGAACTACTGGTTCGAATTGAAAAATTATTTTTGTGTTGAATAGACCATTTATCGAAGAAGGCTTTAGGCTATATAACATCACGCTGCAACTATTAGGAGCGAAGAAATAATGGTAAACGCGGACGAAGTCGCTGGCGGCCACTATTATTTATATAATCCCAATTCATTGATTTATTTATAAATTAATGGGTTGGTGGTGACAAAGGGAGTTTTTCAATATTATCCGTTAATATTCTTAGTGTAAAATGATTAAAAATCCCACTACTCCCACTACTTCTACTCTGAGGTACCAGGTACAATTTGAAAGGTTTCATAGTTTTAATTAATAACACTCTTTCACAGAGCGGAGATCACCACACTGTTTTTTTTTTGAAGTTTTGAACTTACCCAATGACTTGATGCAAGTTGTTGGCGTTGCATATCCATTTGTGGCCCAAATTTTCTTTCCTCTGATATTTATGTATTTTCACGGTGGCACCGCCATTGCGTCTTGATTCTACTATGGATTGGTACAGCTGGGGAGCATAATAAGTTACTAGTAATGGCTGGTTTACACGTAATGAAGCAGATACGTAGTAATCGATTTTAAGTGATTAAGTACGTGTAAATATACAAATAAGTAAAAATATAGGTAACTACTGAAATACACATTTTACTAGAACCCTGAATTGAATTAAAATAAGAAACTAGTCATCTACTTAATTACGTGTGAACCAGTCACAATAGGGACGCCAACACTTCAACTCGTACGTGTCACAATTTAAGTTCATAACAGTTTGTCTAGCTCTATACATAGCAGTCATTGGTCTTAATAAACGCATTTATTGCAATTTATACCTTATGTCCTACGATGTAAGGCACTATGAGGTCATCCTCCGCGTGCAGTATGAGGACGGGTAGTTGTGACGCGCGCGCCAGATGTTTGTCCGAACAGAAGGAATGTTGCGGGCACGCACGGAACGGTGCTACGAACGTATTTTCGTAGTATGGCAGCCATGTTACTAACTGTACAAACAAATTTATACTTATAGATATATATACATATATTAAGTATAATCAACTCATTTGTGCGACGGTACTAGTATGTGTGGGTAATATTTGTACATGTACATAAACTTTATGCTCGTGTCAAGAGGTACAGCCAAATACAAATATGGTAATAGGGATGATGACTATTTTTTGTTTGTTTGTCCGTCAGGTAGAGTGTTAAAAAATATTAAACACATATTTTTTCATTTATTTCGTAATCATAAAATTACGGCGTTACATTGAGTTGAAATTTCGCATGACGTCACGTTAGGGTACGTTTTCTACTCAACTGTGACGTAGCGAGCCCCCACTCCTCAACTTTAATGCCAGTCATCTAAGCTATTTCTTGTTAAATTGAAGTAAAAAAAATACGTATCTAATATTTTTCTATTAACTGACTGATGGACTAAATAGAATTGCATTTTTTTTTACCCAGTCATCTTCCCTATTTCAACAAATTGAAAGCTAAAAATAGTAAATTTGATGAGTAACTTTTGTAATTTCTATATAGCTATGATTTATAATATGAATTCTTAAAAATAACAAAATTTGCTAAATATATGATTTAGAACTTATCACTTAGAATAATTACTAGAAAATCAAACTATGAATTTTCATATTCGCTGTTCTCAACCAAAGTTAATTATGAAATCCGATCTCGTGTGAAACGTAAAATGTTTCCGTAAAGAATAAAACATTTTTGATAACGACTTTACCAATGAAAAAAAAGCAATAACAACACATGTTGCTCGGACGACGACTGAAGCGTCACTGTTTCACAAATAAAAGCTGCGTCACTACAAACTCACGCAAACATAGCATCGCATGCACAAATCACCACCAGCCCTTTTACGTCCCCACTGCAGGGGCTCAGGCCTTCCTTATGGATGGTTAAGAAGGATGGGCCATGACCCTCCCACGCTGGCCCAATGCGGATTGGAGGGTATTAACGACTGCAAATGCAGCCGGGACCAACGGCTTAAAGTGCCTTCCGAAGCACGGAGTAGCTCGAGACAATAATTTTTTGGTCACCCATCCCATGACCGACCTTGCGAAAGTTGCTTAACGACTACGATCGCGGGCCGCGGCGCTTATCCACTACGCCACCGAGCATGCACAAATAACCAGAACTATCTATACTAGCTTTCCGTCAGCGGCTTCGTCTTTATCATCTGTATAATACAGACGAATTGACCTTCCTCTTGAATAACTCTGTTATTGATAAAACCCATTTAGAATCCGCTGTGTAGTTTAAAAGATCTTATCTCAGCGTAAAGATAGCGGGAAGCGATTTTGTTTTATACTTTGTATAGATTAAAATAGAATGTATAACTGCAACTTTCTCCAACACTATCAAGTACATATAGGAAACAATTTTCTGTAACCGTCAAACGTCATTCACCAGTGAGCAGAGTGAAGTTATCTGGTAATAGGGATTTCCAAAAGACAAAGCTTGTTTGTTAACTAAATGCGCTGGTGCTGCCATCTACGCTGAGCTTTGCATATTTTCTATTGGGACGATTGTTTTATAAAACATGTAATCCACCATTCTGTGATAGCGGCCATTATGGATTTGAATTTATTTTCATTGTGCATTATACTTATCCTTTAATGTAGCCTGAAAATAGCTTTGGGACCTCTGTAATTAAACGTAACAACCCTATCGCGTTTGAATTTATTTCAATTGCCTTCCTGGTCCGAGATATTATCCAACGTTTTATGTTTGAACTGGAAGGTAGTCATGGAAACTTTATTATTAAATATCGCAATGCCGTCGTATTTGGGTTAATTTTATTTGTCTATACAAGATCTATGGTCCATTCAAGATAACACTGAACATAAGCTTATTATTTATAAATAAAAATAATGAATGAAATTGTAACTTACAATAGATAATGGATGATGAGCTACTTCATCAGCCAGATTGTTGAATGGTGCCTCTAATATGAGTCCATTAGGTGGTGATAGTGGATCCCTCCTCTTCAATAATCTACCACACAGCTCGTCTAAGTTACCCAACAAGTGAGAAGAGATGCCAGTGCCTATAAAATAAACATACACTTAAATAAAAAAATATCATCATAAACATAAAAGTACAAAAAAATCGTTGAATAATAACAATGGTGCACCTAACAGTTTTAATTAATATACAGTACATACTTTTCCGCGACTTTGTCTACGTAAGTTATAGTCTATATTACCATCCTATGATGTAGCTTACGGTAGGTGAAAGACTTTTTAAAATCGGTCCAGTAGTTTTGGAGTCAATTGGATGCGAACAAACAAACAATCAAATCGTTACTTTTTATAATATTAGTAAAGACATTGAAACTTATACAAATAAAAGTTAAATTACCAACTGAGACTTACCTAAGGAATGTCCCCAGACATATATGGGCGGTTTGTTTTGGGAATTTTCCATTGTACTATGTATCCATTCGTACACGACTAATGAATCTTCCACCACACCATCTTCTGATGGATTCAGGTTGGTTGAATCACCATAACCTAAAGAAAATTGCATATACAACGTGAAAACTTAACATGACAATATAGCAACGACAACATCTACAAAAGATTCTGGTGAATAAATAATATTCTTATTAGAAACCTCATTGTCGTGCTTTCGAAGTGTGAAGGCAATCGAGATAATATTTATTTATTTATTATAAAGTGGCCATGTTATGACATGTATGTCACATTTGGCATGTCAGAATTTCACAATACTATAAATTGTTACAGCTTACATAATATAATTATATATGCAATTTGTATCATTATAAAATAATTCGTCATTCTCAAAATTAAGTTGCAAATAATTATATAAATTAATAATTTGATTAATTAACTACATTTTTATTACAAATTAAAATTACAAATTAAAACTACAAATTAAAATTACAATCTTTCCAGGTCTTTGTCAAAAAATCATTTACTTTATAAAATGGATTAGATTAAAAAAATAATTTTATCACAATTTTAAATTTATTTAATGGTAACATTATTATCGCCGACCAGATGATAGGCATATTAGTAATTTGTGTAACCTTGGTCACAAGGGTCTATAAATTTCATCTTATACAGATGAGTCTATACAGTTTTTCTGTTTGCTCTCACCTCTGTAGTCAAATGCAATTGTATGAAAATCCATTTGCTGGAAGAATTTATAAAGTTGTATTCTATGTGACGTGGCACGTGAGTTGGAATTACCTAGAATAACAAACGATTCATTATTAGATACTTAAATTACCTAAAGACAAAACCACAAACCATTAATTTATAATTTCCTAGCCTACACAATATGCAACAATATTGTCTCAGGAGTAGTTAAAATATACATCAAGAAGTGTATTGCTAATTAATTAAATAACTTAAATGGAAACGTATAATCGTTTTCATGTTACGACAACAATCTTTTGAATATAGATAGGCATTTGATACAATAAATAATTAATGTGGTGATGTTTGATGTGCTTTATGCAGTTTATTACATCAGAAAAAACTTTTATGTAAATAAATAATAACAGTTAACCTTAAAATATGAATCTCTTAGCTTTGTCAACTTGTCAGCTCCCCCAGGGGTCTAACTTGGGGCTAATACAAATAAATCTAAATGTAAAAATGCCAGTAATCTTATACTTCCTCATTACAAAATTATATACATACATGTTATATACAGAATAGCATATCTGTTATAAACCTTTTGTCCTATAGACATACTTATGCACTTTTTGCCAACTAAATACTTGATTCCTGTTTTCAATTCAAATGTTTGAAATAAGGTGCCGCAATAATAGCAATTTCAAATAATAATCTTCATTTAGATCATTATGATAATCTTGCGAAGTTTTTAAAATAATGGGCTGTGAGCTATAACCTTGCTCTTAAGGGTGAACTTTGCAATTTTTTTTGTTTATTAAAATCCATGGGAATAACAGCTAATGTAGACATAAGAATTCATAATTTTGTTGATACATCCTACACAGTTTAAGACTAGTATTTAACTCGACTCAAATTCGCATAGCAACTTTAATGTAATAAGTCCCATGCCAAGTAGATATAATATCTAAGAAATTAAGGCGAGATTTGTTTGATTGTACGAAATTTTATTATAAGGCTATGCTAATATTTTCTTAATAAAAATAATTTTATGAAAATTAAACACATAATCGATTGCTTGCTAAAAATAGAGACATAAATTTTAATAATTGGTTCAATAAAAAAATCGCAATATGACTGAATAGGTTTTTTAGATCATTTTTAAGAACTAATAGGTATATTTCACATGTTTGTATATATTTTTATCTACAAATATAAAAACAGTGATATAGGATTAATAAATAAACTTTACCATGGCAATACATCATAATAGGTTTCTTTGAGTAAGCCATTTCTTCATCTAATTTTCTATTTAATTCTTCTTTATCAATGTTGCCTTCGAAATCTCCTTTAAATTTTTCGTAGATTGATTTGGGTAGAATATGCCATACGCCTGTAATATTAGAGATATTTATCAGGATCAAATTGTGACAAATATGCTTGTATCCTATCGATGCTTTGTGCTTTGAACCAATTTACTTTTCTTCATCCAACATGGTCACTGTTATGTTATCCATATAAAGAGTGTAAAGTATATTATTTTCGTTTGCAACACTGATTAAGTGGGATTTCAGATAAAATATCTTACCAATTTGCACAGTGCATTTATCAACTTTTGACTGGTACTGTAAGGTAAGGTTTCGACCTCCTTCAATACCACTAGCTGAAGGCTCATCATAATCTACGTGCAAAGGCCACTGAACTGAAAATAAAAGAAAATATTCAATTCAAATCAACCGACGTCTGTGTAATATTAAATTATCGATATAAACACAGTAAATAATGTTGATTTCTTATATCAAACAACTTTAAAGGTTTCATCACAATTGTATTTAGTTTTATTGATATTTTGGACCCTATACAGGTTTCATGTTCACATAAGACTAAGGCGTTGATTGTCTTTTCAATTAAGAGTATAGCTACCTTCAAAACATAATGTCAATAAAACTCAATACAAATGTGATGAAACCTTTTAAAAGTTGTTTCATTTACAGTAAATAATGATCAAAATTAATATTATCTATCTAATCACTGTCTAATGTCTGACCTCAGATTATTATTATCTAAATGCGTAACCTTTGGAGCTAATATTATTGTCTTACAGAACAAAACAAATTACAACTTAAAAGCCAAAGATTAATAACAATATCTACACATAAACATTTCCTGGTATTGAACATAACAAATTGAACTGATATGGGGTCTTTTTTGAGATAGGGTTTATCAAGCAAGATCTTGCTTTTCTTTTTATTCAAGTTTTCTTTGTCTGGTGATATTTTTAGGCTCTTTCTCATAGAAATGGAGAATACTGAATGTTTAGCTAAAATGCTAATCTTGTTTTTGTTTAAGAGGATGTATAATAGCATTGTACAGACTGAAATATCAAGTAATATCCAATCCTCAAAGCTATTTACTTACCAAAATTAGCAAATATAAGGCCTCGTCTGAATGTCTTCGAGTATTTAAATATAAATGGCACTATAGCCACATGGAACACAAACAAACTAGCTGTTATAGAAGCACCAAGTAACAGCACCCTGATGACAGAACGAAAAAGAAAATTATTTAGTATGAGCTTCAATGTGGTTCAGCTTGAATAGTACAAGATAAAAAGTACCCTATGCTCATTTGCAATAACTGTACCTTTCAAATGATAACACATTTTTTCTAATAAGTGTTAATAATAAGACTGTTTTTTTAAAGTCAACTAATATATGAAACTCAATGATATTCTTTTGTTTCAAAAATCTCATATTGTCCATAAGGAACCATTTAATAAGGTTAAAGTATCCAATATGCTAATCTAGATAACACAAATGGAATGTGTGTATGAAACTTTTAAATATTTTGACATGACATGCAATGAACATTCAAACTTTAAAATTAATTAAATACTATTAAAAAACAGAAAAGGACTCTAATAATTATAATGTGAAGCATTATTATAGGGACATGGTTCTTTTTATTAGATTATAAAATAACAAACATATCTATGAACATTGATTTGTGAAGAAGGTATTGCATTAATAATACAGGACGGCATGTAAACATGCTAAACTGGGGTTCTCTAATATTAAATGGTTGCAAGTAAAATAAATAAATTAGTTTTATATTAATAAGGTATCAATGTAACTTATTTACAGTAAGTTTTCTTATAAGCACAGTAAGTATTTTGTTTTAGAATGGATATTGAAGTGAACTAGAGAAGAAATATGGAAAATATTCTTAATATTATTCTGAGATGGAGATTAACTTAATACAATATACTATGATGGATCTCAGGATGTCAGGGACCAAGTACATTAAGCATTATTCATTAAGAATATTTATCAGTATAGCATTTTGAATGTGAAATAGATCAAATATAAGAAATATGGAAGTTAAGTGATTCAATAAGTAAATTGCACTACTGCTCTATTTCAATAAAGAGACATCTTTAACTGACTGCCTATACATTACAGTACTGTATCTTTTGAACATCAATATTACTTGTTATTAATATTATTCAGAAAAAAATGGTCTCTTATTTCAATATAAAACAATCCAAACACATACCTATATTTTAAGTATTTGTTATTGAAATATTTTTTAAATAGTGTTCTTTATTTCTTAAACTTAAATTAAAAATTAAACCGATTTCCTTATCATCTTCTATCTTCAAATTTTTATTTAACAATGCTGGTTAGCATATTTAAATTTGAATATATTATTTCAGGACCGCTCTTTACAATTATGACATAAAATAAATGGTGAAATGTTAGTTTTATTAAAATAAGATAGCATAACCGGTTAAGCATAGAATTGAAATTTATAAATTACTCACCCTGCAGTATATAAAGGCACACAGATGATTATACCTCTAATATCAAACATTTTATTTCGATAAAAAGTATAGATAAATAAGTAGAGAACTTCGTTTTTAGCACTCTAGAAATGAAAGTCTGATTGAAGAAAGTGATCGAACTACGTAGGTACACAAATTAACCATGCAATATTATAACTGTGAAAAGGATGAATTGTACGTCGCAACTAAAATGCCGACTAAGGTTAAACCTAGTTTTTTTTTTTTTTTTTTTTTTTTCAGTATGGACTTGTTCCGTTATACACGGAAATTTTGCCAACATCCCGTAGTGATAACTGGACAACATCAAACAAAATACGTGCGTAATGCCTATTGTGTCACACTAACATTTTAGTCTTAGTGTTAACTCAATTAAAATTGGAATTTTCGACTTTCTAAAAACATGAGCATTGGTCTCTCTGGCTGAAAAACGAAAACTTCGATTGACAGTGAGTGACAGCCAGATGACAGCACAATGACTAAAAGAAGAGGACCGGCCATACCTACGAAAAAAGCGTATATGCCTAAACTTCAAATGCAAATTCTTCGATGGCGGATTGTCATAGGGCGTGACCCAAGATATCGATATTTGTATCGACATTGAAGTCATATTAAATAAAAGTTAGTATTTCGTGAAACTGCTACAATACTACTACTTATTAAATAATATAATATAATTTTCATTGTTAGGGGCATGGCTAAACTATTACCTATTACACTTCTATTCATTTCACACTTACGTACCAATCCTATTTATGATTATTATTAATTAAATTGAAAAATTCACGCCAGTATCAAGAAAATAATATTTTTTTAAAAGTGGCGTGAATTTATCAATTATTTATAAATCATTAAGCAATCTTTTGCTCGTATTTTGTTGGACATCTAAAATTTCTTGCGTTCTTTGTTCTTGCGACTCCGTTGCGTCACTATAGTAAATATAACATATGTTACCAGCGTATGATGGCGCTTCCCACGGGTAAAAGATTATTCGTATTCCAAATTTCATCAAAATCCGTTCAGTAGTTTTTACATGAGAGTAACCAACATCCATCCTCACAAACTTTCACATTTATATTATTTAATAATATAATTTTATAATATGATTGTACCTCGATAAATATGTTTCTTTTTCCTCTAATATAGCCAATTTTACATAGTTTTAAGAACTATAGTACCAAAATATATATCTTAAAAGTTTTAGAGTGAAGCAAAGTGACAGTTGTGTATAAGGCATGTATACACTAAAACACTCAGCGAGCGAACATCTTAAGAAAGGAGTTCCACAGGCAAACAAGTTAGCCTTCGCGGTTGTTCGACGGTGGTGACAAGTGGTGGCTTTCTCTCGTTTGACAAAATACTAATATAGCAAAGTACCCCAAGGACTATAAAATGTATGAAAAATATCTTAAATAGGACTCACCTATCACTAAATTACATTAATAGATTTTTGTAATGTTTGAAATTTAACAATTTGTATAACCCGAGGCGCTAGGAATTTCTCTTGAAAACATAATAATCCAAAACAGGAAAACTTAATAAAAATACTAAAGCCAACGTTCGCTAGCGTTCGTTGTTCTTCATTTGTCAAATCTGTACTCACCCTTAGGTTTTATCTACTTTTTGCCTTTAGGCAAAAGCTCTAGTTTATACAGCCACCGAAATTTTCATTATTTATTTTAATTGCTTTCTTGAGATGTATAGTATACATACAATACACTACGCCATGGTAATACACTACAATACAATACACATAGAAGGAAAAGGAAAGAAAGCTCTTATTATATTGCCTACGTGCACGACTTAGCGCCGTTATGCTGTTAATAGACCGATGCATTCGCTTGCGAAATATCTACGGGTTGCCACCTTTTGAGAAACAATATTCGTGACATCAGACGAATGGCTACCCTGAAAGCGAAACGTGCGTCTGTGTAATGACGTTTTTCTCAGTTGACTGTAAAACCAAAGTGACAACAGAAGTGAAGCGAGACAAAGCACATGCAAATAATTGCCACAAAACATATAAAAACTGACAAGATTTATAAGTACAAATACACAATCACGTACGAAAAGCGTCGTTACATTGACCCACGTTTCGCATTCAGGGTTACCATTCGTCCCGATTTTACGCCATAAAATTATAAATACATTTTTATATCAACTCTGTTCGCCTTTGCAATAGTATCACACATCGCAGTCGTAAAAGTTTCGCCTGCTATTGCGTCGGTGAACTAACGGCGTAAGCTTCGCCTAACATTCACTTTATACACAACTTGGCACTGTTGGCGTAACAGATATAAATCTGTGAATGGTAACTCCAAAATCCATTAGTGAGGAGGTTTCATGATGTTGATATCATTATATTTATCACAATATAATAAAATTAGAGGTCAAAACTAAAATAAATCTGAAAACAACATTAAAATCCGTTAATAAACAACAAAGTTATAGATTATTTAAAACTATTGCCACTTTTTACTAAACTTAGGAGTCGCCCAAATCTGTCGCCTAAATATTTAGGAATCGCCTAAGGTAAAAATGCATTTTACCATTGACTAGAAACCATCTAAAGATATTAAGCAATGTCTAAACTTATGATATTCTTTTGTGCGTCACCTTGCGCTAGGCATTTGCTATATGACAGGTCATAAATATGTCGAGGGATAAAAGAAAAAAAAAATATTTGAAATAAAAGAAAAATGCTTAGGCAATTCCTAATATTAGGCGTTTCCTAGTTAATTTATGTCTTGTTCTAGGTTAGTGAAAATGGGTGTAATGCCCGTTTTCACTAAACTTCAGTCGCTCAGATCTGTCGTCTAAACATTTAAGAATCGCCTAAGGTGAAAATGCACTTCAACACTGACTAGGATCCACCTATTAACATTTAGCAATGTCTAGTCATGATATGCGTTATGCGGCCTTGTTATGACAGATCACAAATATGTGCCTGTGCCTGCCTCGAACTCGAGATAGTCGCACTACAAATAAAATAGAAGTCTATAGAAGATATAGAAGAAGTAAATACGCCGGAGTACCCTTTAAGTAGTCTTTTTTCTACTTAAAGGTTACTCCGGCGTATTTATTAATGGATATAAAATTTTATTTTTTATTTGTATGTACTTTATTTTTTATATCTTTAATAATAAGAAGAAAAAGATAAAAATGTATACATATATTTTCTAACCTACAAAAGGTAACCAATATTTACTTACATAAAATACTGTTCAATGCAGTTGCTCATAAAGCACTATTTTTTTAATCCATTGCAAACACTGAAAGTGAGTCTTTAAACACGTGTTAAATAAAAATGTACTGAAATTCTTTACTGCACACGTGCTTAAAAGTGTTTTTTTAATTTTTTTTGGCCGAGCACCAAAGAAATTTAAAAAAAAAATATATGAAAATATATCAAACTTTAGAGGCAAAAGTGACACGAAAACATGTTCAAATATCACGTTTAATTTTGACAAATAATTTTTACCTTTAATACGTACTTAGTTTTATTAACCTATATATTTGTTTTATTTCCTCGTAAAAAGCATTGAAAAATGTTGTAAGAAACTTGAGCGTAAAAGGTTTTTCGAATTCGTGCTAATGAAAACCCTCGCTACGCTCGTGTTTTCAATTTGGCCCTTATTCGTAAAACCTTACTTTCTGCACTCGTATCTTAAATAACTATTGTTTATATTGTAATATTTGTGGTTTTAATTATAAGAAGGTTCCAATCTTTAATTTTAGAAGTTACCGGGGCGGAGGCATCGACTGTTCTCACATTTTATCTCTTTGGAAACGATAATAAATGATGCAATGGGTAAAGGGTGCCCCAGTTAGCAGTTTTGTATTAACTATTGACTTTTATAATGGCATATTTACATTGATCGATAGGGGCCGCACGCATAGTGCGAGTGATTTCATTGGATGATAAACTCTTTCAGTTTCAGGCAAACACCAATGTAAATAGGTATGAAAATTGCCGCACTCCGCATGCGGGCCCTATGGACCAATCTAAATGAATGCACTAATTAGGAAACCAATGACAGTCAATGACGATCTAATGAAAATAAGCACAGAAATCGACGCACACCGCATAATAATATGGGCCCTGTCAATGTAAATAAGCTTGCAGTAGTGGATAAACCAATGGCAGGCAACGTTCGCCTGCTGAAAATACGCACAAAAATAGTTCGCACTCCACATGTAGGCACTATCGAACAATGTAAATGAGCTTGTACTAGTCGATAAACCAATGAGAGTCAATGATCGTCTACTCGAAATGAGCATAGAAATCGCCGCACACCGCATACGGGCCTTAACGACCTATGGAAATGTGCTTGCGGTAGTCGACAAACCAATGACAGACCATAATTGCCTAATTAAAATATTCATAGTGATCGTCCGCACTCCGCACCTTCCGGACACTGTCGACCAATGTAAATGAACTTGTTCTAGTCGGTAAACCAATGAAAGGCAATGATCACCTACTAAAAATAAGCATATAAATCGTCCGCTGTCTGCATGTGGACACTATCGACCAATGTAAATGAGCTTGGACTAGTCGATAAATGAATGACAGTTAACGACCAACTATTAAAAAAAAGCACAGAAATATACCACACTCCGCATGTGGACCCTATCAACAATTAAAAATCTTGGTGCTCATATAGATTCGTCAACTGTATGTCTGTCTGTGCGTCCACTAGTATGTCACAGCCACTTTATTCCGAAAGTATTAGCTTTGATAATAGTTAGTAGGTACTTCTTGTGGTCTGTTTTATGGTTAAGCTTGGACCTACATATCGAGACTTTATAAGTAGATGCATTAACACTTTTAAGATTTTTCAATTGTTGTATTTTAATACATAGGGACAATACAATAATAATAGAAGAGTTTTAATGTCTATAAAATGCAGACTATGCTCAAAACCATAATAATAATAGGTACTGACGCGTGACGTCGAAATTATTCTTACGAGCGTAAATTCAAAGTTCCATAACTAACTATCATAAATTTTTATACAGATAAATATTTTCACAGGATTATGTCATTCTTTCATTTTAAATAGAAAAAAAAAAATTGTATACTTCCTTAAATCGCGAAATCGAAAACTATATTATGTTTGTACATAAATATGTATTACTTATTAAAAAAAATGGATGGCACACTTTGCTATATCATCCGTATATTCCATATTATCGTTTGCATTGTATATAAAAAAACATAATTTTTTATCAATAATAATAACATTTATATGATACTTGAGCTTTTTTTGTGGAAAATTTACTCTAAATACTCTTATTTTTTAAGAGAGAGATGAAAAAAGTTATGCTTCACTAAGGCATAACTTTTTCATCTATGTTCTGTTACAATTTAATATTGTTGTAATTTCTGGTGAATAAAAACGACACTGGCATCTTCAAAATAATCGATCAATCTGGATTGAGGCTTTTTTTAAATCGCTTTTTCTTCCACAAGCTACTTCGATAAATTTATCAGTAAGCCCCCTCTTGTAATGTATTATGTCGAGGAAAATGTCTTCGCATATCATATAGTATGCATAAACTTGTAATAAAATCTTTTTGCTGTTGTATCTGGCTGGTTTCGGTATCATTAAAAAGTTTAAATTTTAAAGAAAATAATCCCTAATTCGAATTAGGAAAACGTTAGACTTCCGTTTATTTTTCTTACTGTAAAAATGATTGAATCTAAAAAAGAAATTCAATTCATTAAAAAATAATACAAAAAAGGTTAAAAATTACACGCTACTCAATAATGTTTATGGACCTAGTGCAGGTTGTGTGTAGCACAAATATGGTTCAGCGTTTTCAGACTAGAAAATTTGATCAGGCTGTTAAGGATAAAATGGCAATTTTTTAAAAGTAGAGCACTATCGGCATATCAGTAGTTACGACGTAGATAAATAACTGGGGATTGACCACGCCATTTGGCGTAGGTATTTGAAAAAAGCTAGGTAAATACATAATATAAAAAAAAGCTTTGGAGATAGTGTTTGTACTTGGTTGCTAAAATTATTTTTTTAAATGCGACCTCTATCACTACAAGTTTTACATTGCTCAAAATTATGGTTCGACGAAAACCCAGTAAATGAACTTTTTTTTTGAAGTTGCCTCATCTGCAAATGTTCTTATGGTGTATATATCAATATACTATTGCCTTGTAATTTTTAATGCTATTTGTATTTTGTGGAATTGATTTCAGCATCACAAAATTTATTATAAATATATCTATTACATGTAAATGTGTTTGCTGAATTTTGGAAAAAATATCAACTTGACATTCTTGACCACTTTTTAAATTAAATCTACTTGCAAACATGTTCCTGATTTGTCAATAAATGTTTTGTTATTTGGAATAGTGGGGTATAGCTCATTCTCCTTTCTTCATTCTACAAAACGTATGTACTTAGCTTCATATTCGCTTGGTATTTTTGAACGATAGATTGAAGGAATATAGCGTTGGTACATAATCGGGACTAGCTGACTCGTCTGCTTTCTTATGTCCAACAAAATTATTACTACATATTAAATTATTTTTAGTTAGGTACCATGATGATCCATCAGGACTGAAAAGGATTTGAACAGGTAAAGTCTACTGAACATTATCAAATACAGAAAGGTTTTATGCAATTTTATTATATTTACGTTTTTCTCTTGACGACAGCTATCCATCGCATTGTTCATATTTTCAAGGAGCTCTTGGGAATAGGTAAAACTTGCATTAACTATTTCTGCCAGTATTCTTGCACTTGTTGTGGGGAATAAAACAAGAATATGTAAATAAGTACATATTCTTGTTTTATTCCCGGACTAGCTCGGTGGCGTAGTGGATAAGCGCCACGGTCCGCGATCGTAGTCGTTTAGCAACTTTCGCAAGGGTCGGTCACGGGATGGGTGACCAAAAATTATTATCTCGAGCTACTCCGTGCTTCGGAAGGCACGTTGGTCCCGGCTGCATTTGCAGTCGTTAATACCCTCCAATCCGCATTGGGCCAGCGTGGAGAGTCATGGCCCATCCTCCTTAATCATCCATAAGGAAGGCCTGAGCCCCTGCAGTGGGGACGTAAAAGGGCTGGTGGTGATGATGTAAATAAGTACCACAAAAATAAATATCTATTTATTGAAGGTGGAGGTGCATAAACTCGAGTCGAGATAAAAAAAAATTTGACTTTATCGTTGAAAACAATGTGAAAAAAAAACAAACAAATGTCTTTTTCAAAGTAACATTCCATGACGCAGGTGTTTGAAACATATTAAATTTCATGGCATGAAGTTATTATTTTATTAAAACGTTTTAAATGTTGCGACGAGTAAGTAGGTAGTGTTAACTGTAAAGTAAACTAATGAAAAATGGACTGCATTTATTATAGGTATAATTTATTTGGAAAACATGGAATACATAACTAATCAATATTAAAATAAACGTAAACAACACAAAACCATTTTGATTTTGACAGACAGCTAAATATCACTAACAAATGTGTTTAAAAATACAAAATATGTAAATGTCCTTTTTTTGTAAAGGCGGAATGAGGTCACCGGCTGCTAACACTTATTGATACTTTTACGCGTCATAAAATCTTCAGGTGCGTATCTTATAACGTTTTTAGGGAAAATTAATATGAATATATTCATATATGTATTTAAAAAAAGTCAACAAGTTCGGAAATCAAAAATATACATTATTTGTACAGTCAAAAGCACATTTACAAAACTGACAATTTTCTTCATTTGGTTTTAAGCCATAATGCATTGAACTTAGAGTTAAAAATCAATTGAGGTGACATTGTGATAGTTTGACGAGCAGCTCTGTAGGTTTTTAAGCAGCTCTGTAGGTTTTTAAGCAGTTGATTTTACTATGAAACATGATGTCTAAAATGAAAAAAGCAATTACAGAGACAATTTTATGCACCAAAACGAGTAGAATCTTGCATTGATAAAAAAAAGTTGACATTTCGAATACCTCCTAAAATATTTATCGTTGATCCATCAATCTTTATTTATCACTTCATGCAGATACTTTAACCATGGAAATTATATTATAATTTATGTGGAAAGTATTTTTGATTTAACATACTTACACCCTACGGTATACCTATTCTAAAACTTACATATTGGTTTTATTGACGTGGTTTATTACGTCTTAAATGTCTAAACCTCAATGACACATGTGATGTTATTGTTAACCCAGTATCCTTATCAAAGACATCAATAGCAGGATCCGTATAACAAATAACTTCTAGAGACTCGGTTGTTTCAATATGATTTTTTAGACCAGCGGCTTTCATTATATTTTCCATAGTAGGCGAATAAAAATGGTACTTGCCATAAAGATTCTGATAATCACCTATTAAATTTCCGACAATTTGAGCTCTATACTTCAAATTCATAGAGATAATAGTTTTGAAAGCTTTGAGTTTCGTAACTATTGTTTGTCCTGGTTTAATACTGATCAAGCCTTTTTTGGCTACACCAATTTTTACAATGGTACTTCTTTGGGTACGATCCCTCCATCTTGTCTCATATTGAAATGGAGTATCTCCAAAATTAATAGTAACATTATAGAAAATATCCTCTTCAGGTAAACCGTTTTCTGACCAAGAAGAATACATATCGTTCTCGACATAATCGTATAAGCTTCTGACTGTTTTAATGACATCTGTAGAATTGTTGATATGCTCATGGATCTTAAGAACTGTTTCTTTTTTAATTATTTCATTAATTTCGGCATTCACGACGCGAAGACTTCTTTTCGCTTGCTGCCATTTGAATTTCTTAAACAAATCTCCGTATGGGGTTGGATCTTTAAAAAATATATTGTCAGGTGCCTTACCTAATTCAACTCTCATACCATGGTTCAGATTTCCAATTGTTATATTGAATAAATCTTTCTCACTATCGGTTATTATTTCGTTGTCTGTACCAGCAAATTTTACAATAACATCATTTATGTTTGAAGCCACTGTTACGTTAATTTCGATTTTCCCTTGACATACTATTGTTAAAAATAAGAGTAATGTGATTTGTAATAACATTGATTTTCTTTTTTTATTTGTGTTCATTAAATAAGTATTTTTGTGTAGGTATAACTCTTGATGAATCGTAACGACTGAATCAAGCTTACGATTAAATTCTAGAGTATTTGATTTGAATGATATAAACATTGAAATGTCATACTGTTTTGATGTTTGTATTTATGGTGAATTGCTTATTTAAAAGCTTAAAAAATAACAAATAACATTTAGAAAAAACTCAAATCCTTGATAATAATTCAGGCTTGCCATTGTTGACTAGACTACATACATATCTACTTATATGTACATTTACTGTAAGCTTTCGAAAAACTATTATGAAAATATATTTATATGTTTCAACATAGACATCGCCGGTTGCAAAACTTAGTAACCATATGTTTATCAATTGACTTTAATTCAAGTTTATCAACGACTAGAGGTCAAGTATTCAATACGTAATGAATATCAGATGGATATACTACACATTTACTAGTGTTTTGTTCGTTGTTAAAACAAAGTAACTTAATCTTACCAATAGCACTACAATATATATGAAAAGAGAATACAAAAGAGAATATTTTGATAATATACCTATTAATGTGTTTTAGTGCGCATTTAATTTTAGTAAATGCAAGTATTTCTTTTCTATAAGAGGATGTAAAACTGTTTGGCTAAGCCAATGGGTATTGTTATGGAATTATTAATCTAAGCGATAAAATCGATAAAGCTTCCAGTGAAATAACCATCAATAAGAGACTCATCCATCCGTAAATGGATAAATAGACAAGCACATTTTCTTACATATAAGTTGGATTTTCAATTTGTGCCTAAAATATCTTGATAATAACTTACTTGGAATTGTAATTGTGTAATAATTTTTCTACAGACTCCCGAAGAATGGAGTTGGGAATAACATTTTTACAAAATATTTATAATTCATAAGCAATACAGAGTCAACAAAACATGATTATTAATGTTCATTGAAAATATACCTGTTTTAATAAATTGAAGCTGAAAATGAAGTGTATTCCGTGTCTTCTACTTGTGGTTTGTTTAAAAGTGATAGATGCCAAAATAAATATTGATATTACAGCCGGATCGAAGGACCCTAAAGATGTTATTATCAAATACTCAGGTATAGATCTAAAAATTGTCACAGACCATGAGATCAACATATTCAAAATAAATGATCGCAATTTAAAAGAGGCATTAAAGAAACGGTACGGAGTAAAACCAACGAATGTTTACGTCAAAAGTCCCACGCCATGGGGAGATTTGTACAAGAAAAACAATTGGGAACAAGTCACGAGGGCATTAACGATAAAATCTGCTAGAATAAAGAACCTTTCTCTGACACCAGTGATAGTAACTTCGAACGATTTTGAGAATTATTCAAACAAAACAATCAAAGTGAACACTGGCATTAGTCAGGCAGTTGAGAATTCAGTTACTACAAGTTGGTCGAGGACCAACGAAATTACAGTGAACTCAGAAGTTGAATATGGCATCAACGTTATTTTCGAAAAAGCCACCGCTCGGATGGGGATTTCTTACACAGCCAATTGGGGTAAAAGCGAAGAAAAATCTGAGACTGTCACAATTGGTTCCAGCACATCAATGGAAACTGAATTGGCTCCTAGGCAAGCCGTTACAAGTGTTTTATCTGCTAACCGAGGTAATATGGAAATTGAAGTCATTTATAAAGCTATACTTAAAGGAAATGTAGCGGTGAATTACAGACGGAAGGTAAACGGTCATCATTTTTGGGGCCCAACTATTCAAGATGTCATGACGAATGGTAATTTGAACAACGAGAAGACTTCTGTGCAGATTATTAAGATTGGATTTTATTCAGAGGCGTCTCTGAAAGTGTACGATAAGGTAACGGGTGTGCCGATATAAAGCAAATATTTCGTTTCGCGTAAACTTTTTTGTCAATTATTTACCTACCTAGTACCTCTTTTCTGTGCTCTGTGCTAGTACCTACTGACGATTAAAGGGGGATTTCTATTGTGATGCCTGATGAAGATGATGAAAATTGCCGTGAATGATTGACTCATTGAAATACATTTTCAGTTTTTTATAATAAATAAAAGAAATATATCTGTTGGGGTTGTTATTAAAATTATTGTCATTTTACAGTTTAATACAGCATGTCACGCTATCCAAAATTGCAATTTTTGAAGAAAGGATGAGGGTTCATTAGAGGGTTTACAGATTCTAAAAAAAAAATTGAGGTTCATATAAAGCGCATACAATTTTTTTTACAATTATCTAAATATTATAGAATATATATGTATTTTAAGCATTTTTCACCAAGAACGTTTTTCAGTATAAAATGATGAGTGCAAAATTGAGAAAAATATAATAACTTTTTAATACCTGTTTGATGTTTAAAAAACTGGAAACTTCTTGAATACACAAAGTTTCCAGTTTTTGGATATGTCGCCAAAATTCACCCGTTTTCAAATTTAACTTATATTTTTATATGAGTATATTGTCTGAGTATAAGTAATTTTTATATAAGTACAAGGGTGCATCACTTTCAAATTAAAATCTATAATAAAACATTGAGCTCTAAAACTTACATAAAAACCCACCAAGAGCGAGTCGGGCAGGCGCACTGTGAAACGAGAAATAATACTTTTGTCGTATTTAAGGAGCCCCTTTAATATATTTTTATTCTGTTTTTTAGTATTTATTGTTATAGTGGCAATAGAAATACAACATCAGTGAAATTTTCAACTGTCTATAATATACTATTGTTTATAGTAGGTATACATTAATTATAACTAGTCATTGCCAAAATTCAACCACTTTTTTTAATAATATTAGTGTTTTGTTATTGTCAATGATTATATTTCTGATTGATTGTGTTGATTTCAGTGACAATAGGTGTTTATCATGTAAGTATGTGATACTTTTAATTTGTAGAATACTAGTATCTATGATATGATGTAATTGTTTTATGAATTGCCTAATTGCGAAATGTAATAAAGGGTAAATAAAGTCTTGAATTGAATTGAATATCACGGTTCATGAGATTACAGCCTGGTGACAAACGGACAGGCAGACAGACAGCTAATTCTTAATAATAGAGTTTCCGTTTTACCCTTTAAGAATTGAATCCTAATAATCACTGAATAGATACTTTAATGTCCCCGCTTCTGGGGCTCAGGCCTTGCCAATGGATGGAATCGAATAGGGGGAAAGGGCCCACCAAGCGGACTCAGTGAGGATTTGTGGGTATTTACGCCTGCAGATGAAGCCGGGACCAACGGCTTAAAGTACCTTTTAAAACACGAAGGAGCTCGATTTAATAAATTTTTGGTCACCCATCCTATGACAGGCCATTGCAAAAGTTGCTTGACAATCGTATCGCAGACCGAGCGCGCTAACCACTGCGCCATCAAATTCCTCAATAATAGATATTGACATAAAATTAAGATAAGTATTTCCATTCAAAAGAAGTTTATTACAAATCAGACTTAGGTCAAGGCAAATACTGATAAATGAATCTAGCAACTAATGACCTGTTTCTTGTCATTAAACTTATGTAACAAAAGCTCATCTTAAGCTGGTCTATTAGGCGAAATAGCATCATTTGGAGCGTAGTGATTTTGTCGTTTGGTGATTGTATATGCAGACTAATGAGGGCCGGCTTCAATAAGTTGAAACCTGTAGGTTACATGAATTAACATTAAGGAATTTAAAGAACTACTACAATTACAAAAAAAGCCAAAAAATTGACAATTTATTTAGCTTCGATTGTAAAACATAATTTAAAAAGCATCGTCATTTTACAAATTATCTTTAAATAAGTAACTTTTTATTAGCAACTCCAAAATAGTGGCCGTTATTAATACGATTAAATGTTTTTCTTTGTTTGATAAGCTGTAAGATATCTTTATCCATTATGGATCAATTTTGAATGATTTTCATTTAAAAGTGTATATTTGCAAATAAGTTCACAAAACTATGAAAAAAATGAGGACAACTTTTGATTAATTTACCAACAGTCCTTGTTATTTTCTTTTACAATAAAAAATTACTACATGTTCTAAAATTAAATCCTAATACGTTTTTACTTATCTTTGTTGGTATAAATTTATTGACCAGAACCATTAGTATATTATAAATGTGTTTACTCTTAAACATTTAACTATAGATTAAATGACAGTAACCTTAAGTAGAACCGTTCATGGTTGCATCTTTTGTGCACAATGTCACGCATACGCCGATCGAAAACGCAGTCGTTACGTTCAACTAAATGCTCAATTTCTCCCGTATTAAGGTTTAGAATTGATAAAGAAAGTGATTTGTTTGATGAAAACAAAGGAGTTTACTCTCTTTTGTTCCTTACAGTGGACAGGTAAGTGGGTAATAGGTTTACATGCCCTTGTACTACATTCATTTGGAGCCCTTGATTTATATCTAACGTCCCATCAATAACGATTTTGTTATATTTGATAATTTTGCCAAACGTAAATAATATGCCTGAGTTTGGATTAATTGGCGATTAATCAATATTTTTACTTGCCGGTTCTTCTCAGTACAAGGTCTCTTGCCGTAGATTTATGAACCGATGGTTTAGTTTCAATTTTCACAAACGATTGCCTAGATTGAATAAGTGATTTTGATTTGATTTTTTTACCAATTTCAAAATTGAAAAGTGGAGGTTCTATTTTCGAGGGGTTAATTTTATGATTGTCGAAATAACACTGATTTCAGGAAATATAAAAACTATATATTTATTGGCCACATATATAGAAATATATTTATTGGCCACATGCAATGTTAGCATAGCATATACTTTTATTTGAGAGTGATAGATAGGGAATGCAATCTCGTGAGATTTGGGCTTTGGCGAGATCTCTCGAGTTTATGAATATCTATACTGCGAAATCTCGCGATTTACGAGATCTCGCGAGATTGGTACTCACAAAGTGTTTAATGTTACAAACAATCACAATATTTGAATTAATTAGGAATTATAAATATTATAAATATACATTTGTATTTATGTACGAAATTATATTTTTTATCTTAAATCTTTAAACAATCTCGGAAACGGCTCCAACAATTTTCATGAAATTTTGTAGAAGCTTTCAGCTTTCAGAAGCGATAAATCAACATAGTTAGGTTTCATTTTTTTATTTTATAAAAGTGCGGAGTAAAACTCTGTCATCCAGAAACTAATATTTTAAGAATAAAACTCTAACGTATCTAATCAAAAACGAAATGAAATAAAGAACACTGTCGGTCACTCTCGGCTAATATCAAGCAAAAGTTTAACAATAATAAATAACACAGTTCTTTAACAACAAGGATAACAAGACATCAAAAGTTTAATAATTTGAATTGACTATTAAAATGTGATTATAATTAAAGAAGAAAAAGCTATGTGTACCCGGAGATCTCAAAAAAAATTGAAAATAAATTTCCAATCCATTTAAAGATTTATTCAGTTCACCTCACACGCCATTTTTATGAATAATCTAGAAAGACGCTACTTAAGAAGCACAATATGTCAATAGAATCGTTTGCTAATCGTTTTATTATTGTGCTGGCCAGATAACCAGCCACTGAGAAGGCTTTTTCGCACGGGGAAACACAAGTATTGTAAAATTGTAAATCTTCTTTTTTTTATTAGAATCCCTAGAAAAAGTACTTAGTTTTATGCTCGAGTGTAATCTCATTAAACTCGCGAGATCTCATATTTTTCATCCGAGATCTCGCGAGAACGAGGTTGCGTTTACTAGTGCTAACCTATTGGGGGGTGCGACCGTCTAATTCTCTAGCCATAATTCTAGTCGTAAGATACGACATCTTATCGAGGTTATGACGATATTGCGTTTCATGTTACCACTTGATATGTTTTTGGTGGATAAGTATGGGATAAATGACTGAGTTGGTAACACTGACTGTAACAAATCCTTAATCATCATACTTTATCGTTCGTTCGTCGTTACTAAAGTACGCATGTAAAAGTAAGATAAAGATATCTTATCCTATGGCTAAAATCATAGGTATAGAGTTAGACCCGGAATTAGGAATAACCCGAATATATCATAATAATTAAAAAACAAATATTCTATCAAAACATTGAATCATCATTACATAAATGTGATTACTTCTCGGAAAATCCATAGCCTAGATCAAGAAATAGGACATCTTAATGTAACCGTTGTTAAATTAAGTAATAAAGTCTTATAAAGAACGTAATTACACAAAGAAACTGTAAATAGTGATAGCCACTAAGATTGTTATATGACACCCTTCATTGACACAATTATTTCTGCTCATTCAAGATATTCAAGGATCCATATCATCTGTCATAGAGTAGTCATCTTTTTTCGACTTCTTCTAACATCTTAAGTCACACCTTCCTCATTGAGAAACGGCTTAATGTGCCTCCCGAAGCACGGCGAAGCGGGAGATAATATTTTTTGTTCATCCATCATATGACCGACGGAAATAACTATCAATAAGTCATAGTAGGTGCTAGTGAACTCCCCCCCCCTCCCGCATACATACACAACACATACATACGTTATTATAAATGCATACACAATAATGACAATATATAATGAGGCCCCGGGGTGGGCCGCCTTCCCCCACCCCTAAGTCCGCCACTGGTAGGTGCCAAACCAAAACACCGAATAATAACAAAAGATTTATATCGTCATATTATGAATATATCGAATTTCCGATTCTAATACTATTGCAAAACAAATCGAATGAAACAAGATATAATATTATGTTTCTCTCACGCACTCATAAGCTGCGGTTACGATGATAAAGTTATAGATTCAACTTAGTTAATATAGTTATGGCATACCTAGTACTTTATTAGTATTAGTAAGTATAAGAAATATAAGACAACATCGTATACATATTTAATATACCAAAGTTAATCGTACTAAAGCACAACATTTGGACTCGAGTAAATATAAAAAACCGGCCAACAACAAGTTGGACTCGCGCACGAAGGGTTCCGTACCATCTTATTATAATAATATTACTTATATTTAAAGTGAATAATCACTACATAGTATAAAACAAAGTCGCTTTCTCTGTCCCTATATATCTATGTATGCTTAAATCTTTAAAACGACGCAACGGATTTTGATGCGGTTTTTTTCATATATAGGGTGATTCAAAAGGAAGGTTTTTATGTACAATACAAGACCATGCGGGCGAAGCCGCTGCCGGAAATCTAGTATATTATATATAACACAATATTATGTGAATATTTCTTGCGTTTACAATATCGAGCCAAAACAAAACACATTTGTTGTACGGGAACAACTTTTTAACGGTTTGTATTAATATTTATTGACCGAAGACCGCGAGGGTATTGAAATTAAATAACATCTGAATTTTAATAGAGGTGAAGATTGGCATATACCGCCGGATGGGATCTATTCATTAGTCAAATAAAATCTCAATGCAAATCACATATTGCAAAACCAAAAGATCATAAAGTTATTTCATTCTGTAAATATTAAATCTAACGGAGCAATTCACTTTTATTGTCGCAGTGTGTATCGCCAGTTCTCCTTAGACAAGACTCCCAAATTTGGAACTCGTGGTAGATTACGGTAGCCAAGGGTAAATAAATAAGTCAAATGTGTATATGTATTTTAATTCCGCATTTACGCAAAAAATACTCAACAGATTTTGATGTTATTTGGTACAGGAATAATTTCAAACCTAAATTAATGTATAGACTACTTGTTATCTTATGAAACGGATCCTTAAAAACAAAATCATGTAAACCACGCAGGCGCTGGCGGAAAGCTAGTGATTTTATAATAATATTAGATCTAAAATCGAAGCGGTCGCTCTTGATTACCAGCTCAACAAGGACATACGATGCGAATTGTGAAGTCCAATAACTCTTACCGGCAACAAAGCTCCAAATATCGACGACACGAGTGTCGCCACACGCTCAGCCTATCAAATCACAATACATCCATTCACATTGCAAGTTGAGTGGCTTTCAAAATGTAATAATGTAATCTTTAAATTGAAGCCAATAAGGGTTGTATTGATCTGGAATAATTTTTAACA